TATCATAATACAGCCATCACTGTATTATCATAATACAGCCATCACTGTATTATCATAATACAGCCATCACTGTATTATCATAATACAGACATCACTGTATTATCATAGTACAGCCATCACTGTATTATCATAATACAGCCATCACTGTATTATCATAATACAGCCATCGCTGTATTATCATAATACAGCCATCGCTGTATTATCATAATACAGTCACCACTGTATTATCATAATACAGCCATCACTGTACATCATAATACAGCCATCACTGTATTATCTCCATCACTGTATTATATTGTCATAATACAGCCATCATTGTATTATCATATTACAGCCATCACTGTATTATCATAATACAGCCATCACTGTATTATCATAATACAGCCATCACTGTATTATGACGTCGTGACACCATAACCTCGTCACAGCTTTGTGTTGGCTGTGTTGTGAAGCAAGCTTCTTATACAAGCAACACTTTGTGATGAATGTGGAAATGAATAGATTCAAATATAATATACCTATTGTATATAATAATAATAATATTATATTATTATATATACTTATAATATACTTAAATACTCTGCTTTTCTAAATTGTGCGGCATTTTCACTTTGATACAATATCTGTTTCACCATTTTGAAATACGCCATGTTGCCGCAGTCTGCCTGTGGGTAACACTTGCTTGGTACTATTCTTCTATTGTAATACCAACATGATTACTATTTACGATATCAGGTGAATAATTCAGGGAAATAAAGTGCATGAGAGAGTTTTAAACGACCTCTGATGAATAATCCATGCACGCTAAATGTATGGGAGAATTGTACACGATCTACAGTGAACAATTCATGTATGTGAATTTATTAATATATGAATTAATAATTCATATATGCCAAATTATTTATTTATTAAAGTCAATTTTTTCATTTATATGTTCAGGGACTGGTCTAGAGGACGTGAAGGTGGTGCTGGAAAGCTGCTGGTTCGAGCCGCTGCTGGAAGACACATCGCAGCACTCCAGGACCACAATCCCACACCCTGTGGTACCACCTTCATCTTCTAGCGGGCCTCACTCTTTCGGGACCTCACCATCTCCCACTGCGGCATCACAATCCATGTTCACTACCCCACAACTGATGCCAACAGAGTCACAATCGCTTCTCACGGAGTCACAATATAATAAGAGTATTTCATCATCGTCCATCGCTGTGTCCCAATCAACCACATCAAAGATGGACGGACCGCGCAAATCTAAGAACAAAGGAAAAAGTTTCGGACAGAAAATGCGGACGGAAAGTTCCGCTCGTGTCGAGATCGTCCGGAAATCGTGCGCCGCCATCCCGTCTGTTACTGTCAACCCTGTCACCGCGAGCTTCACATTCACCGTAAGTATGGTGTGACATGCTCACTATAATATAGTATAAATATTTTATGATTTAATAAAATATTTCATATATAATATTTTTTTATTAATATAGATAATAATAATAATACATTGTTTTATTGTTCAGTTTTTAAAATAAATCCGTGGTGAATTTAACTAATCTAATTCAAGATGTCATTCAATATGTTATGTATGATGGAACTCTCTCCATCGTACTTTCTGATTTACTAACATGACTCGAGAAGAAAGGAACAACTAATATCAACACAAATAATAATAATAATATAACATAATAACATCTTATAATAATATTAATAATAATATAATAATAACTAATAAGGCTCTCGTTTACCAGTTATATTACACGATCATTAGTGAATTCCAACTAATAAGCGCTCCCTAACAAGCCTAACCTACCACTTCATAATCATATACCAGTATTATCACGTCATTATTAAATTATTCTCAAGTTATCAACACATTTCAACTTATATAAACATCATTTATCATATGTTTTGTTCGACAATAAAGCTATTATTAAATTATTCTCAAATTATCAACACATTTCAACTTATATAAACATCATTTATCATATGTTTTGTTCGATAATAAAGTTATTATTAAATTATTCTCCAGTTATCAGCATATTTCAACTTATTTGTAATTTATTATCATATGTTTTATTATTTATTTCGTGTACAGGTGGGCAGCGAGCTAGCGGACGCGTGGCGGTGGACGCTACAGTGCACCGTGGGTGTGTGTGCTGCGGGGGCGCTGCCCCAGCCCGCCCTCAGCAAGGTGGGCGGTGGTCTTCTTAATGAGCGTTATATTAATAATATGGTCTACTTAACTTAATCATTAAGAGGCTCATTAGTGAGTTTTATTTTTAATAAATATAATGGTAAGCATTTGTTACTACACCTTAACAACAGTCCGTAATGGCGCCTATAACATATAACACATTTGGGCGCTCATAACATATAACATATTGGTACCCAAAACATATAACATATTGGCGCTTATAACATATAACATATTGGTGCCCAAAACATATAACATATTGGCGCTATAACATATAACATATTGGTGCATAAAACATATGACATATTGGCGCTCATAACAGTTAACATAATGGTGCCCAAAACATACAACATATTGGTGCCTAAAACGTGTAACATATTGGCGCACAAAACATATAACATATTGGCGCTATAACATATAACATATTGGTGCCTCAAACATATAACATATTGGCGCATAAAACATATAACATATTGGCGCTTATAACATATAACATATTGGTGCCCAAAAAATATAACATATTGGTGCCCAAAACATATAACATATTGGCGCTTATAACATATAACATATTGGTGCCCAAAACATATTACATATTGGCGCATAAAACATATAACATATTGGTGCCTAAATCATATAACATATTGACGCTTATAACATATAACATAATGGTGCCCATAACGTATAACATATTTGCACCTATAACATTCATCTGAGGGACTGTACCAACAATCATGAAGTTACATTAGTGCACGTAATATTCAAGTAAGATTCTATAGTAATAATCATGCTGCGTAAAAATACAAATGCATTGTTTTTTGCGATGTCTAGAACTGCGTCCGGCCAAATTTGGCCTATTCAACGCTGACACCGCTATAACTGTCATTATAACTGATACTATAACTGATGTTTCCACTAATACTATTTTTAATAATATATATAATACTATGAATAATGCTATTTATAATGCTATAAATAATACTATTACTTATAAGTTATAACACCTCGGCAGTGTACGAAACCCTCGCTGTACTGCGACCAGGCTGAGCTGCTGCAGCTCTTCCAGCACCAGCCGACCGCCTCACGCACGCGTACGCTGCACTTCGGCCCTCTGCTCCTACAGCCGCCCAACTTAGGTGGAGTATAGTATATAGTGTATGGTATATATAATATATAGTATATTCTTTATTCTTTCACACACAGAAGCAACACAGCACGACTCAATAGAAAGAGATAATAAACATGCTATTTGGAAATAAAAGCATCGAGGTGAAAGGCCTATACAAGCTATAAAAAAGCTTCGCAGGCGTAATAGGTGACGAGGATGAACATAATAGTGGCAACAAGTACAACAAAAATTAATACAAATATTACATTCTAAAGGAAAGGCAGTACATAAGTAAATTGTCACAAGAAAAAAAAAACGATATGATAAACAACGTTAAATTAATATTGAGCAAGAATATGATCACGAAATTTTGTCTATAAAATGGATTTAGAACAGTTTATTCTGTTATCATCAGGCAGTTCATTAAAATGTTTTACACAATTAAAAACAGTACCATTTTTCTCTATTTCTAAACGGACCGGTGGGAGGTTGAGACGAACGCCTCTGGTATCATGGAAATGATGAGGAACAAGAGGAGCAAAAAAACTTTCAAAAAGACGCTGATCATGAAAAAGTGCCCTATTCATAAACTGTAAAAGCTTAAATTTATACATATCGTCGAATTTCAGGATTTTTGACTGTCTATATAATTCATTAGTATGAATCAATGGCACAGTATAGTATATAATATATAGTAGAATTTAGCTTCCGGGCCACCTTGCCGATTTGTCCAGAACTGTGACAGGTGGGATTGAACCCACAACTCACAGCTTCGTTCTTGGTACGCTGAACTTTAACCCCACAGACAGCACATTTTATTGCTAAATAAGCGGCAAGATAAATTGCGTGGCAGGAAAATTTTATTGTACCTGAAGTGGCATGCTGTAAGGTTCGCGACTTAATTACCTGAGTTTATTTAAATAAGGTGGCCATGTTTTTAAACGTTAAAATTTATGGATCTGGGTGTTTCTTTAATGTCACCTTGATAGGTTTGATATCAATTGGAAATATTGAGGTTGAATACACTGAGATTGGATATACTGATTTTTTATATTGAGGTTGTTAAAAGGTGAGGTTGTAAAAAGGTGAGGTTGTAAAAAGATGAGGTTGTAAAAAGCTGAGGTTGTAAAGTATTGAAATCCTAAATTATTGAATTTTTTCACTCAGACGCGTCGGTGCGGACGCCGGACGGCAGCTCATCGTCGTCCGTGCTCGTCCTGAAGGGCGTCGCCACGGAGATGGTCTTCGTCATCTCCTTCGTCTCATTCGTCGTCGGCGTCGCCCTCACTTCCTTCCTCTGGTTCCTTCACTCAAAATTCGGTAACAAAAATTATTTATAGTGAATATTTTATACCATATAATGCAATTTAATATGAAAATTATAATATTTAATTAAATATAGTAGTCAGTATCCATCATCCGAGTCGTACAGTTGACTCGTCCAACTACGGAAAGAATTTTTGGTCTCATTCCTGATACAGAATTTTTAATTCTTCTGCAATAGCCATTAAATGAATCCTAATCCCCAGCAAGTATATCAGTTTATATTATCTTTCGTACGAAATAAGTTATCATAATAACTTATCAATAACTTATCACAATTAGTGAAATAAATAATATCATATTCCCGAATTTTGCAAATTTATATTTAATTTTATATTTTAATTTTATATTTCACTAACTTCACATAGGTTGCGCCCGGGGCTGCAAGTCCGGTCTCCAGACCCTCGAGGCCCCCCGTGGGGCCCCGTGTGGTGCCCCCAACAGCGGGGGCTCCACCCCCTCTTCACAAGCCCCCATGACCGTGGGGGGCTGACCGCAGGCCCCCCCGTGGTCGCGTAGGGGCAAGCTCGCCCACGCGCCCCCCCTTGCCCACGCCCCCCACCTCCACGCCTCCGCCGGTTCGCCCTTTAATATTTATACTTATTTTCATCCTTTCCATGTCGTCCTATTCTTACATATCTATTCATGTCATCATATATCCTAGTTGTGAAGAATTTCGTATCGAGACTCTTCGTTGTGGGTAAAACAATTTGACACGAGTGGAGTAGAGTTACATTCCAATGGTTTCTGGCGAAGTCGAAACATTTATTAAAACTAAACACCTAATGACGATATATAAAACATACATATATATATATATAATAATTGTACAAACACAAGTCTGTAAAATAGCCTCGAATACAGTGGCTAGACTTACCAAATTATTGAGGCAAAGCTCGGTTTGTCTTACAAGTAAAAGCTTTCGTCGTACAATGACGGCCTATGCTAATAGCAGCGCCCTAGTAAGTTAGTTACGCGTGCTAGAGAATGGGACGAATCTAAAATTGTATATCAGGTTCACATGAGAAAACCCTTCACACTAGTGTTTATTTGCATCTTAATTTAGTTTTCAAATTCGTTTGGAGGTATGGAAAGTCTTTATTTATGTACGCATCTATCTTTGTTCAACTTATTCTGTGTTATTCACAAGAGCCGAATTAAACTGTGCTGAACTGTTCTTAATTTCATTGTTTTCTCTCGTTATCACATTTATCAAGCCTTTACTATGAATTTTTTCCACACTGAACTCCATCTGAAGCAGGTATTTTCCCAAAACCTTCAAAACCCAATAAAATTCCTCCATAATTTCAGGACTTCTGAGTACCCAAAATCAAAACCCAATTAATTCCTCCATAATTTCAGGACTTCTGAGTACCCCGAAGAGGCTGAGTACCCGGCACAGCCCTCAGAGTACCCAGCACAGCCCTCAGAAGCAGCTGCTGCTGCCACAGTCCCGCCCGCCCTCAGTTGTGAGCGTCGCGTCCTCGGCCGCGCCAGCCCTCAACACGACCCTCGTATGACACGAGCCCGGACCCTCGTCCCTCGACGTCGAGGACGACGTATTTCTCCTGCAGCGCGTCGAGAGTACGTCTGACACCTGCTCGTCGAGTGGTGGCAGCTCGACGACGTCTGAGTCGTAGACGTCGAGAGTACGTCTGACACCTGCTCGTCGAGTGGTGACAGTTTTATTTAACTGCTTTAAAATGAAATCAAACTGTCTGTTATAATTTTTTTTTGTTATTGAGAGGTACGAATAATGTTTGCCCAAGGCTATCGATTTCTGAAGAGATTAAAAATGTGGATGCTTAGTAACATTTGAATTACATATCTTTTGTAAGAAAATTTCTCCTTCGTCCAGCTGGTGTTACGCATTGTAGGAGGCTTAGCCTGCTCTCTAGTTCTTCAGTTGCGCTAAATATTATAATATTATTGTGAATATTATAACATTATACAATATTCACCATATTTACAATATTATATTGTGAATATTGTGATTTTTATGGTGTTTCCGAAGTTACTTACTACGATTAAAACTCGGGTAATTAGAGTAGAAAATAGCCGACACTCTATCTAGTATTAGGATAAAAGATAATGTTGGCACTAACTAGGTAACTAGGGTAACGTGGTAAGAGAGGAAGCTAGTGTTCGGATACTAGTGAAACTAGGTGAGAAATAAAGCTGGACCTCTGATACTAGGATTATTAGGTAAGAAAGGAAGTTGGCTCTTGTATTAGTGTGATTAAATGAAGGATAGAGTTGGCCCTTTTATATTAGGTTATACTAGGGTAACTAGGTAAGGAATAATGTTGACACTCTAATACTAGGATAACTAGGTAAGGAATAGTGTTGACACTCTAACACTAGGGTAACTAGGTAAGTAATAATGCTGACCCTCTAACTAGGTAAGGAATAATGTAGACACTCTAACTCTAGGGTAACTAGGTAAGGAATAATGTTGACCCTCTAACACTAGGGTAACTATGTAACTAATAATGTTGACACTCTAACACTAGGGTAACTGATAGGTAATGGTGCCTGGTCACCTGTAGCTGTGCTAATGGTGGCTTTCGTGTTGCTTATATGTAGTTCGCGTGCGCTGGTTTCGAACGCATGAAGGTCCTGTGGAATTATTCGAAATAGAAAAAAACAGTGATAAATTCGCTCGTATTATTGTTAATACATCTCGAAACTTTTCTCCTTAATTATTATTTATCTTGTAGCCTCGCTGAGCAATTTTCAGAACCAGAATTATGGATTTATATATCAAAAATTTTTCGCTATATCATTCCGTAAATAATATAACTTTGGAGCATTTGACTCAATCGTAAATAAGATGCGTCATGTCGCTCAGAATTTTTCTGACAGACAATTCGAGTTTAAATCATGTGTCTGAATGAGAACGCTTAGCGTATATCCAGTGCCTGAATTCGGCAGCGGCAATGCTTTGTTCTTTGCAATTATTGCATTTAACACCTGACATGCGAAAACCTTTATGTTATAAAACACTTCGAAGGGGACTATATGTACTATATGGACTATAAGATTTCGCATTTTTAGGAGCATTGTTCCTGAGCGCCCCACCACCGAGCTCGCGGTGTCTGACTGCAGGTCTCAGTTGTGGGGTTAAGTTATTATGTCGAAAGCTGAAGCGCAAATAAATACGTTGATATAAAACTAACTAACGATGTTATAAAAGAAAAGAAAAAGAAATTCATTGTTAAAAGTATCAAAAAGATTGTCACAATGTTAGATAACGGTAAACAGAAAATAATAAGGTTATATAATGTCACAAATAAAGTCTTTATGTGACACAATGCTGGAAAGAAAAGAACCAAGTATTATATCAGGTGTCGAAAAAACACCAAGTTTATATAATGTTAAAAATATAACCTCAATATTATGTAATATCGAAATGAAAATCTCAATGCTATGAATTTCCGAAAGAAAATCATAACTTTGTTTCATTTCGAAAAGAAAATTTTCATATTAGATGACGTGTAGAAGAAATTTGTTAATATAATACATAAATGTAGCTGGAAATCGATACAGTCGTCTTAACTTGCCTCTCTGTCACACTGCCGTCCACTTCACACGGTATGCCGGCCTTCTTCTCCTCAATGTTTATCTGTCTTCACCATGATATTTATGTTCCTTTCTCTCTAATATACATTGTTTTCACCCCAATTTCCTCACATTAACTCAGGAATGTCAGTGTACATGCTAGTTCTGATGTTCAAAGATACCGTACTAACTGCACTGCAGTCAAGTGCAGTTACTGCAGTAACTGCTTGGTTGCAGTCACTGCAGGTTCCTCTACTGCATTTAGTGAGATAATTAGAAGGTTGTAGATCTAATGCTAGTGAGCATAAGAGCGACTAGTTAGAACTAATTCGTTCAGCTTTTAATTAGAATTAAAGCGACTACTTATAGAACTTAGTCAATCTAATTCGAATAAGTATTCGAGTGACTAGTTAGAACTATATTATTCTAATCCTAATTAGATTTATAGCGGCTAGATATAAGTAAGTCATTCTAATTCCGATGAGAATTAGAACGACTCCGTCCCACGACAGTGGAATGTAGCCAGCCTCTCATTGCACTTCCTATATAATAAGTAATCTTATGTACATTTTTTCATTCAAACGCTTCATGTATTCGCGATTCTAGAACAGAATGCTCTAGGCCTGTTGTTTTCGTGGAATTAGAGCTGCCTTTAGAATATTTTTAACATGTTTGCTTATTGGAACACGATGCGTGGAATGGTACGAGGTTCTTTTGTGAACGAATCAAGGTCCGTACGAATCAAGGTCCGTACGAATCAAGGTCCGTACGAATCAAGGGCCGTACGAATCAAGAGCCGCGCTATCAGAAAAAGTTTAAAATTCGTAACTCCGTCAGCCAATCACAGACGGTACCTCAAGTGAGACCCTCCAATTACAGACAAGAATTTTTCCGTTTGGTGTACTTTTGCTGCTACCTGTTTTTAAATAAATTTTGGTTGTACGGATTTTTTAAAAAATGGTATCTAAAGGAGAGTCTATGGTTGTCGGGCAGTGGTAATTAAAATAATTGTTATCATGTCTCATAATTTTGACTATATATGGAGAGGAGAGTTAATGGATGTTGGAGCGGTGGAAGAAATTGCTTTGAAGATTTCAATGGATCCACGATAGCATTTGTTATGATGTAAGTTTTTGTGAACAGGTCCTGCCGTGTTAGTGAAGGCTGTGAATGAAGCGATGTATGGATGTGTTAAGGATAGTTTATTACAGTCCATAATGAAAAGAAGATAAGTGAATGTGATTTACTAGGTAAAGAATTTTACTGGCGACAGATTGTATTTAATGTCATCAATATAATTGGTTGCTATAGGACTTACTTTGAAATTAAGTATTTATGTGATAGGATTTTCATCTCTTTAGAATGTTAAAAGAATAGACGATGATGCGAGACGATGAGTTACAGACGTTGGTGACGTAAAATTTGTAAATTCAGACTATATACGTGTACTTAATATTAGATTCCTATGTGTAAATATGCTAGAAAGATAGCCCGCCTATATGTAAATTGTACAGCAAATGTCTCATCAGAATTATATAGGAATTTTGTCGTTGCACGTGAAAGTATATAGGATCTGTTGTTAACTTAGAGGAAAACGAAAAAGAACTTAATTCGAGAAAGAGAAATTTATTAAATATGAAGAAATATGTTGATTCGTTGCCGTCAATGAAAAACTTTAAATTTTAAGTGTTCTTAATGGAATTGAATTAAAATCTAAATTTTAAGAAATAATGTAGAAAGGACAAGAACCTCTGCGAGGAAATTTATAGGAATGAAAACCATTTCTCGATTTGAAAAGGGAAATTTCGGCTAATGGTGACCTGTTATTAAAATGTTAAACTTCTTCCTGCCTATATACTTGGTAATTATATTGTTTAGATAGCCGAACTTCAATAGGACTCATAGAGCTTTCTTCTGCAACTCTTAAATACGCCAATTTTATTAAGATATTCGGTTATTAAAGAAAAACTGTCAATTGTTTTGGTTGCTCTGACCTCGAGACTGACGAGAGACATAATTATGCGGCATGCTCTCTGAACGGTTAATTTTCAGATATGTTTTAATAATGTTGGTTATATATATATTTGTCTAGACCAGAAGAGAATTTATTAAAGCAAACCTTGCAAGGTTACTTTTATTTAATTTTTAGTTACTAATCTTCACGAAAATTAGTTTATTACTAATTTTTGCAACAATCTTTACCCAACTGATCGTGTCAGGTAACTGGTAACCAATTGACCGTGTCAGGTAACTGGTAACCAACTGACAGTGTCAGGTAACTGGTAACCAACTGACCGTTTCAGGTAACTGGTAACCAACTGACCGTTTCAGGTAACTGGTAACCAACTGACCGTGTCAGGTAACTGGTAACCAACTGACCGTGTCAGGTAACTGGTAACAACTGACTGTGTCAGGTAACTGGTAATCAACTGACCGTGTCAAGTAACCGGTAACCAACTGACTGTGTCAGGTAACTGGTAAACAACTGACCGTGTCAAGTAACCGGTAACCAACTGACTGTGTCAGGTAACTATTGGTATTAATAATATGTTAATATTTTGATATTATGTTGTCTGAAATAATTTGTAAATACGCACCGTAGGCAATGTAGCAACCATATATATATATATAAGATATTATATATTAACTAGTATTCTAATTACACCAAAAATATATGGATGTGTAGATGTGGTGAATAGCATTTATTTGATTAGGATAAAGAAAGAATATATATTTATCGCCTGTTTTATTGTTTATTTCAAAACTTTCATAGCACGGCGTGCACGCCATGTAACGGACTACATAATGGACATAACCTACATCACTGCTTGCCATCATCACCATGCATGGACATAACCTACTACATCGCTGCCTGCTATCATCACCATGCATGGACATAACCTACATCGCTGCCTACCTTCATCACCATGCATGGACATAACCTACTACATCGCTGCTTGCCATCATCACCATGCATGGACATAACCTACATCGCTGCCTACCATCATCACCATGCATGGACATAACCTACATCGCTGCTTGCCGTCATAACCATGCATGGACATAACCAACATCGCTGCTGGTCATCATCACCATGCATGGACATAACTTACATCGCTGCTCGCCATCATCACCATGCATGGACATAACCTACATCGNGTCATGATAACTTATCATGTGTGTCATGATAACTTATCATGTGTGTCATGATAACTTATCATGTGTGTCATGATAACTTATCATGTGTGTCATGATAACTTATCATGTGTGTCATGATAACTTATCATGTGTGTCATGATAACTTATCATGTGTGTCATGATAACTTATCATGTGTGTCATGATAACTTATCATGTGTGTCATGATAACTTATCATGTGTGTCATGATAACTTATCATGTGTGTCATGATAACTTATCATGTGTGTCATGATAACTTATCATGTGTGTCATGATAACTTATCATGTGTGTCATGATAACTTATCATGTGTGTCATGATAACTTATCATGTGTGTCATGATAACTTATCATGTGTGTCATGATAACTTATCATGTGTGTCATGATAACTTATCATGTGTGTCATGATAACTTATCATGTGTGTCATGATAACTTATCATGTGTGTCATGATAACTTATCATGTGTGTCATGATAACTTATCATGTGTGTCATGATAACTTATCATGTGTGTCATGATAACTTATCATGTGTGTCATGATAACTTATCATGTGTGTCATGATAACTTATCATGTGTGTCATGATAACTTATCATGTGTGTCATGATAACTTATCATGTGTGTCATGATAACTTATCATGTGTGTCATGATAACTTATCATGTGTGTCATGATAACTTATCATGTGTGTCATGATAACTTATCATGTGTGTCATGATAACTTATCATGTGTGTCATGATAACTTATCATGTGTGTCATGATAACTTATCATGTGTGTCATGATAACTTATCATGTGTGTCATGATAACTTATCATGTGTGTCATGATAACTTATCATGTGTGTCATGATAACTTATCATGTGTGTCATGATAACCTGTCTCTTATACACATCTAGATGTGTATAAGAGACAGACCCTACACTGACCGTCCAATTCATGCCAATTCTGCGTAACATTACGAACTAAAAAACCCTACACTGGCCGTCAAATTCCAGCCACTTCTGCGTAACATTACGAACTAAAAACCCTACACTGGCCGTCCAATTCCAGCCATTTCTGCGTAACATTACGAACTAAAAAACCCTACACTGGCCGTCAAATTCCAGCCACTTCTGCGTAACATTACGAACTAAAAAACACTACACTGGCCGTCCAATTCCAGCCACTTCTGCGTAACATTACGGACTAAAAAACCATTTGCTGGCCGTTTAATTTAATACAGATGGTATGATGGAAATCGTTTTTATCATGACTCGTCCTAGTTTTGATTCCGTCGAAAAAATTATTGTCGTTTGGTTTGCCGTTTTTCCCATGAAAAAGAAACAATTCACACAAAGTTACGACTATATTTTCTAGTCATTTGTAATTTTATTACGTGGGTAAATGTAGTAATAGCTTCGCAATAACTTTCAAAATTAATTGCCCTTTACAAATCCCGTTCACCGTAAAAACGAGGCTCCATTCCTGAGCTTTGGTGAGGCTTTAGAGCTGAATAGTAGCAATGGACAGTGAAAATAGCGGAGGCATAATAGGAAATTCCAGTGAAAGAAACCAGGTAGAAAGGCAGACGGAAAGTAAGGGCAATAAGAAAACTGCATGGTGCAGTCGGCAGAAGGGGATAAAAATGACCGAAAACAAGGAAGAGAAGAAGAAGAAAACCGTGGAAAAATTCTTACAAAAAGTAGGATTGAGAACACGGTAAGGAAATAAAGCTCACAAGGCAGAAAGAAGTTAATCGTCAGTAAAAAAAATTAGAGAGATAGAGGAGGAGAAAATAGCTTAGAAGCACGTCGAGAATGCAGAAGAGAATAAAAGGGAATGAGAAAAAACTGTGAAAAGGCAGTAAGGGTCAAAACGGCAGTAAGATCAATTCGCAGAGCAGCAGCAATGGATAAAACGGCAGCAAGATCAATTCGCAGAGCAGCAGCAATGGATAAAACGGCAGCAAGATCAATTAGCAGAGCAGCAGCAATGGATAAAACGGCAGTAAGATCAATTCGCAGAGCAGCAGCAATGGATAAAACGGCAGTAAGATCAATTAGCAGAGCAGCAGCAATGGATAAAACGGCAGCAAGATCAATTAGCAGAGCAGCAGCAATGGATAAAACGGCAGCAAGATCAATTAGCAGAGCAGCAGCAATGGATAAAACGGCAGTAAGGAAGAACTTAGAGATTGCAGAAAGTGTGCAAATGTTAATGTGAAAAAATATAACTCAGTACTCACAGCAGTGAGTGACAGAGAGCACATTTTCTCGTCGACGAAAACTTGAGGTCACGGACGGACAGACAGACAGAAAGACAGACTGTCGAGCACAATAGTGCATTTTATCCATAAATGAGAAAATACGGTAGAAACAGGTGCGGAATGAACGAAATGCACACGCAATGCGCAGCTGGTAAGGCAATCATCACATAATGTGAGATCGCCAGATTCTAGCAACCTGCAATGCTCGGACGATTCTATGTTCATATGTTACGTAAGTCGTGAGTTGAACGATAATTATCAGCATTATGAAGATTATCAGTCAAACGATAATCGTCACTGATACGATAATCGTAAGTCCTACGACAATCATCAATCCAACGAAGTTCATTAGCTCTACGATGATCGTACGAGTCATGCTTCATTCATATCGTCGTATATTTTTCTGCCGCAGGTCTGATAGTTAATTTATATTTTACTCGTAGGAAATAATTATTATCTTCACTTATCATCTCTTCTCGTCAATTATCGTCACTTATCATCACCCATTGTCACTTATCATCACCTAATATCATTTATCCTCAAATATCGTCATTTATTGTCGAGGTGTCATTATTAAGAATTACAGCGCATTATTTTACTGTAAACTTGTAACTCTAATGCAAACTTAGAGTGAGTAAAGTTATCATGTGTGTCATGATAACCTATCATGCGTGTCTGTGTCATGATAACTTATCATGTGTGTCATGATAACTTATCATGTGTGTCATGATAACTTATCATGTGTGCCATGATAACTTATCATGTGAGTCATGATAACTTATCATGTGAGTCATGATAACTTATCATGTGTGCCATGATAACTTATAATGTGTGTCATGATAAGTTATGATGGTCCAGCATGATGTTTCACTGCACGGTACAAGCTCGTTGTATTAAATTATATTTCTTATCTGTGGTTATATGTTCAGTAGACGTTCAGTGGTTCTAGAGTATTTTAGAGTATTACAATGAATACCTTGTCAAATACTCCTGAATACCGATGAGGACAATGAGTATTACAATGAATACTATATGAAATACTACCAAATACCCCTGTTGGCAATCCCAGTCGTCACCTCTACATCGCTTCATTGCTAGGTAAGCCAAGAGAACGAAGTATAATGCATACAAATAGAGAATAAAGTGCGAAATATAAAGATAAATTAAGATAATGATAATTAGAGAAGAAGCCGAGTGGTAATTAATACGATAATAAATATTATCTGAACTCTAGTCGAGACGAACAATGTACAGAGTACAATATACCAGAGGATGATATGAGCATTGAAACTATTGATAAATCTATAATGGTTAGAAGAAAATTCCGTGCCACAATGACAATGTTCGATTGTTTACAACTGTTAATTAACGCTCACACTATACTTGAAATATACTTCCTTGACATAATTAATATCAATTTATATTAAGTCCATATAAAAATCCAACTAACATCAATCAATAGTTTATCTAACGGTTCCTGTACAACGGTTGTCTATTCTAAAGATATTTAAAAAAGTACATCTTTATAGATTAGAACAGCTTATTGTGAGCTATTTCCATACTAAGTAAATAGATTAAAACAGCTTATCGCAAGCTGTTTCCATTTTAAGCAAAAAGCCCGCATCGTCTCAAGCTTGCAATGTCCACAAGTTTCGTAGAGATAGAAGCTATTTCCCCTCGTATAAGTTACGAGGGGAGATGACACTTAGAAAATTGGATGGTTCACTGTGCAAATCGTGACAAACTTTCTTACCAGCAGCACGAACAAAGAGGCAACTTGATTCACTCAGATGTGGGCTAAACCAGGTCAGGAATGGCCCTCTTTAGACAAAAAATTGATTGCAATTTGGACAAAGTTTCGCAAGTTTATCTGAGTGCGTGTGGGTGGTGGTCATGGATAGAAGAGATAAAGTTTACATAAAAAAGCACATACTTAAAAGTTTGTTTTTTTGCTAACTTGGTCGTCAATGTAATGATGACCATTTTTGCCAACTTGGTCGTCATTTTATGACAATTTTAATGAATATTATATTTTGTTAATTCATTTGAAGTTTTCGATTCCATTCAATTAAGCGTCACTTCTTTTGTTTGCACTTAAATTGTGCTATGACATTAGTTCATTGCCTCAATTGGGGGTGGGGGATTTTTCCTCCGCTGGAAAATTATTTTTTTTTGTTAAATTGCAGTTACAGTGTAACTTGCAGCAGTTAACCGTCACAAAACACTGCTACTAGATTGATATATTGTTGCCTCTAATTTAGGCTTCGTGATAAATTGATTAACTGTTAGTCCCTATATTTTGCTGTTTGGTTTCGTATGCGATTCAACAAAATTTTCGAATTATTTGAAATTATCTACAAAATGTTGTGCACCAATTCATTTCATATTTATTAAATAAAATTTCAGTGCTTTTTGGCAAATTAAGCATAACTTTTTATCTTTTGATTAAAGAAGTTGAAGGTTAGCTTCAAATAGTTGCGCAAGTTTCAAAATTTATCCAATATTTATTGAATATTTCATATTCATTTGATAACAACAAGATGTGAAGGAACAAGAATTTATGACATGATAGCGAATCAGGAAATCATGCACGATGCGAGATTGAACATTTAATCTCTGTTCTAAAATTCCCAGCAGTCGCGCACAGTCTTCCGGTTCGAGGTTATAAAATTATCCTATGTTTATAACAAAATTTTTAAGTGATCTATAAAATGTTTGCGTGTTTGTAACTAATGTCATCTGCCTGCTTGGATCCTGTCCAGCCCCGAGGGTATCCTGCACCTACAAGAGCCGCTGCCAGCGCCGAGGAGGCAATTTTTTGAAGCGTGCAAAGTAACAAAAATGTTCTAGTTTCAAGATAACTAACCCTCATTAAACATGAATTCACATATGATAATTATGAATTTGTTTGTGTAAATTAAGAAAAATATATGACAAATCTTCCGTATGATAATAAAATCTTGAATATTTCAGAATTATTATATCAAATGTTGCTCTGACCCCTACTCTGTGCTGGAAAACGTTCTTGTTAAGGTTCTGCATACGTTATCGTACGTTCTTCTCACTGAGAAACGTTTTTCTTAGTCAGCGTGTGCGAACGTTGCTCTTACTCAACGTGTGCGAACGTTGTTCTTACTCAGCGTGTGTGAACGTTGTTCTAACTCAGCGTGTGCGAACATTGCACTAACTCAGCGTATGCGAACGTTGTTCTAACTCAGTGTGTGCAAACGTTCTAACGACTGCTCAGAGCTGGACGGTCCAAGCAGGCTGCGGTAAACGCTATATGATGGACTCTCTATTGCGTTCGTTCTCGTCTTCGTTGCTGGAGGCGACACTGGAGGTGCCGCAGAGCTGCATTTCTATTTCCTGAAGTCTGTTCTCGACCGCCCACTGCTGGTGGTTCAGCTTGAGGGACATGGTGGCGTTCTCGGCCTCGAGGCCCACCAGACGCTCCCTCAGACGTCGGATCTCCTCCAGTAGGAGGTCTTGAGTCGAGGTCTCCCTGGGCAGCGCGCCGGCGCTGTGCGAGCCTTGAAGTAAAGTGCCTGCAATGCGATATAAATTAAACAATATTTAGTTTAAACGCACCCACCAGGCATCTGAAGTTGAAATAATGTCGCTGCAACATTTTTTCAATGAGATAAACTCGTAATCAACATTGTTTAAGCGTCATTTGTCTAGACTCTAGAGGGTGCGAATGAATAATATTTAAAAATTTGTTTGAAGTTATGCCACTAAATAATATTGAATTTTTTCAAAAGAAGTTTTTCCACTAACTAGAAGTTTTTCTACTAACTTGGTGCAAGAAGTGAGGTGATGGACATCCTGTGGTCGCAGGATGACGGCGCCGTGCAGGGCATCTCGACGTGTATGCCCCCCGGGTGCGGGGGCGGCACTGGTAACGTGTAGGCGATGTGAGCCGTCGCGTAGCTCGGTGACGTGAGGGGCGACATGACGTTGCTGGGTGACGTGATGGTCGATCTTTTGTCCGCACTGTCGTACGACGCCACGCTCGCCGTCGTGCCTGGCAACGGGGGGAATTGGGTTATTGTTTCATTCAGCGATGTCTTTTTAGCGTATTTTCTCATTTATGGAAAAAATGCGCTATTGTACTCGTCATGTCCGTCCGTCTGTCTGTCCGTTCCTAACTTCACGTTTTCGTCGACGAGAAAAAGGCGCTATTGTGCCCGTCATGTCCGTCTATCTGTCCATTTGTCTGTCTGTCTGTCCGTGACTTAAAGTTTTCGTCGACGAGAAAATGCGCTCTCTGTCACTCACTGCAGTGAGTACCGGTACTGAGTTATATTTTTTTCGTGTTATATCTTCACTCTGCGATGATGTTCTTTCATCTCACACCACGATGATTTTCTTTCACATAACATTTATTTGGGGTACAACAAGTACCATCCACGACATTACATGGGAAACATATTATATGTGTGACCCATGAACATGTTACATGTAAAAATGGACACAACTGCTGCAGCGGCGTTCTGCAATGAGTTCAGTTTGCAGGTAAAACGATCTTTATTGTTTTATCGAGAAACTTGAGCCTCGCAGGCAACATAAACGATTCATTCTTACTATGGATGCAGTTCACATCACAGTTCATATCATAAATAACAATTAATTACCAGAAATCAATACCAGTTACTAATAAAATTAGAATAATTCTTCTCGACGTGCGCCAAATTTGTAAATTATTTAAATGATTTTGCAAAGAGTGGAATAGTTTACAGGTTTTTACAGGCATATTAGTCTTGCTTTCACTGTGAAAAATGAATGGGCCATAATTTTCAAATAGTAACAACCTTTCTTATCCAGACTGCAAACAGAGTGCAAACGTAGAATTGATGCGTCCGAAACTGGGTCAGGATGACCCATAAATAGGTGAAAAGTGCGTTGCAATTTGGATAATGACCCGCTCATTTTCCTTAGTGATAGCTGGTCATCTACGTAACACTAAAGGATATTTATTACTTTTAATATTAAGGACGCTGCGGTGAGAGCAAAACTGAACATAACAAGTCGCTACAGTTAGATAAAAAATATTATTTTAAAGTAGTTAAAAAGCTGGACTTGTTGAGGAGGTTTGGTTAAATGACGTTAGCGACTCGTGATCAAAAAATGTTCGCGAAGATGTGGTTGCGGAATTTTTTTTCACTTGTTTCTTATTATAAAGAATAAAGAAATATTATAATATTGGAGAAGACGTTCAATTGAATAAAACACTTTCAACTGCTGATAAAAACGTCAACGCTGAGATTAAGTACTTTTAGATTAAAAGCTTTAGAAACATATTTTGTATGCTTTGTATATAGCAGTTGCTCAGATCATGGCATATGTCATATCACAAACCCAAGTCATATGGTACTCTCAGGGAATTGAGTGGGAACTTGTCCAAATAACGACACAATTAAAGCCATTGTGCGGGTCATATCAAGTGATTTTGGCGCAATGAAACGGCGTATCAGTGCTACTTGCTGGAAGTACGTCACTATTTGGACATTTACCCACACATTTTTTGAATTTACATACATGTCATATTATAGGCAATAAGAGATAGTCAAACGACGAAATATTAAATACCACACAATATTGCTAGCTAATAAGACGCTAAGTAGTTCTAACTAATTACCACACTACCATTGCTAATGAGTACTAACTAAAACGACAAAAAGAAATCATTGAGTGCCGCTACGAACGTGAAAAATCAATAAATTTCTGCTAGTAAACCATGTGCTATTGTGTCTACAATAATTAAAAATTTCGCTAAATACAATAAATATTTTTGATCACTTGATTAAAATCGCAAAAAAAACAATGACACTCCAGAGGAAGATGAGCGCCACGTCGGAAACGGCGCTNTACCAGCTGAGGAAAAATTTTGGAACCAATGTCAAAATTTGAGGAAGCTCTGACAGAAAATATTTAAACTTTTCGAAAGAATCAGAGATGGATTCAACGCAAGTGTATGATATTAATTTAAAATTATATTTATATTAAAAACAGATATTATTTACATGGGAAGAAACAAGTGTAAGTACAAGCAAAGACCTATTGAAGGCCTCGTATGTATTATGCCTGTCTCTTATACACATCTAGATGTGTATAAGAGACCACTATCACTGCATCCACTGACAGATTTCATTATAAAAACTTTATTGGACTAGTGTTGAATTGTGCCTAACCTTTCACAGTCCCAACGTGTTAAATCTGTTCTCGGTAGCTGTTCAGTGACGGTTTGTTTATACTAAACAAGAAGCAAGCGATTCTTTCCACTAAAATAATACTAAATTTTTTTAGTTAAATTTCAACGGTGTCGTAAATTTTGAGAACTCGAGTGCGATAATTATTTTACTTTAATTTCATGGAAATCATTCAGGTTTCGAATATAAATCATCAAGTATTGTTGAATTTACATTAAAAATGTATACAGTGGAGTGAAGTTTTGTTTGAGTTAAACACGATTCTAGATGAAATATTCAGTAAATGAAATAATATTGAATATTCGGCAACACGCCATGGGCCTTTTTCTTCAGCCCCGACACTTCTATTCTATTCAGTTACGCAAACATAAAGAAGACAAAAGCGCAAATGAAGATTCGTAATATTTACAATTTATCTGGATTAATAATATTAATAGAAAGCTTTAGAAGTTAAGGAGGGATTTTAGAGAACAGCGTTGCACGGTTCAAACAGTGATGGAATAGCATTACTTTCAGTGGAACATAAAATCCTACAGTTACTCATAAATGAAGCTTTTTGAGAAAAAACTTTAGCTGATAGAATGAACAAGTATACTTATTTGGGTACAACATATTAACAGTGCAACTCAAATGTAATTTTTTTGGTAGCTACTTACCATATAAAGCACATTAAAAAGAAGATAAAAAGACCACACAACTTTCCCAAATTCACCGTCATGTCGCTCATACGAAATCAAACATATATTGAATAAATAACAAAAACTGGACAATCTCATTAACGAGGGTAGCAAGTTTGTCCTCATCAACGAGGGTAGCAAGTGTTCCCTCATTTACGAGAGTAGCAAGTGTTCCCTCATTAACGAGGGTTGCAAGTATTTCCTCATTAACGAGGGTAGCAAGTGTTCCCTCATTAACGAGGGTAGCAAGTGTTCCCTCATTAACGAGGGTAGCAAGTGTTCCCTCATTAACGAGGGTAGCAAGTGTTTCCTCATTTATGAGGGTAGCAAGTGTTCATTCATTAACGAGGGTAGCAAGTGTTCCCTCATTAACGAGGGTAACGAATATTTACTCTTTAACGAAGGAATATGTGTTTCCTAATTAACGAGGGTTGCAATTGTCCCCTCATTAACGAAGGAATCAAGTATGTGCTAATCAGCAGCTGTAATAATCGTCCTTCATTGATTGTCTGTTAATCAATTTGTCATTCAGAGCTTGACGGCAGAAGTAAACACCAGCAACGGCATCAATAACGATAAAATGGACCAAATCAAAGAACTTATAAATTCAATGAATAATGACAATTCACAACGACGTCCTAATTTAAAATTACTATGATTTTCAGTCTTGGAGCAAGAAACCTGAATAAAAAACTGAGTTCCGATCGAAGTGCTTATTATGAAGCAGAACAAAGCAGCCGTTCTAATATAAAAAAAAACAAGAAAATAAAATGTCCACAAATGTCGCACCTGATCTTGCTGACGAAGGCGGAGGAGGGTGATGAGTGTGGTGGAGGTAGTGGTGGTTCGTGGTGACGGTGTTGCTCTTCTCTTCGTCAGTAGACTGACGAGACGACGTGTCACTCAGGGCAGACTCGAGGGTGTGGCGCTCAGAGTCCAGAGTCTGGTGTGACCGCGAGCCTTCAGCGTCACGTCGGCCGCTGGGAGAAATACATATTTTAATAGATTGTCTACGGATGCATTCATCGTTTTTAATGCTATTCGTGCCTAAAGTACTTAAAGGTCTGGCAACGATAGGTTACGTCTGTAGACTAAGGGTATTAAATAGATAGGCAAAGAGTCATCCGTCTTAATTCGGATGCGTTTATAGTTTTTAATGCTATTCGTACCAGATTTACCTAAAGGTGTGATTACGACAGTTATCTTCATTAGATAAAGGACAAAAATGTACGAGCATAAGGTGATTAGGAAATGATCCCTATCGTTTCTTTTCTAAATTGTCTTTCTATGACGTACAAAACGTACAGCCGAACCTCTTTCAATTGTAATAACATTAAATCTGTTGTGACCGAAATGCTGCAGAGACTAGAGTACCAGCTGAGGAAAAATTTTGGAACCAATGTCAAAATTTGAGGAAGCTCTGACAGAAAATATTTAAACTTTTCGAAAGAATCAGAGATGGATTCAACGCAAGTGTATGATATTAATTTAAAATTATATTTATATTAAAAACAGATATTATTTACATGGGAAGAAACAAGTGTAAGTACAAGCAAAGACCTATTGAAGGCCTCGTATGTATTATGCGTTGGCGCAGCGTCCATCAGTTGAACGGAATCGCGTTCGTGAAGCCAGTAAAGATCAATACAAAAATGTGTTCAACACTAAAATCAGGTAAATGAGTTATGGCCAATAATAACAGAGGGAAATGGGTTTATTTTTCGTAAGGCATATTAGGTGTACACTTGACTCCTGATAGAGGGACAGAACAGGATATTTAACGGTTAGAAAATCACACTATGCCAGAAAATGGTTTTCAACATCGGAAGGAATTTATTATGTCGACTCTAGAATTTGACGACAGACCCACGCCGAGCTTTAACCAAAAGTGGATTCTTGAGAATCATCAAGATTTAAACTTGGAGACCAGCTAACCTGATGGTAGGACTTAGTGCCGGGCTGTACTGTGGGGATTTTCGGAAATCTCTCGCCGGAGACCGCTGGGGAAGCTGAGGCAAGGGAGCCAACGGGGGCGGAAGAATCATTTCCTCCAGACCCACTTTGCCGGACGACTCAACCAGCCCGGGAGTGGAAGCTGATCTACCAACCGCGGCTGCAAGAAGGGTGCAAGTAGGAGCTTGTTTGAAAGAAGGTTCGTGCACTGCCGAAGATAAATGTGCGGTAAGATTGGCACGATGTATGGGCACGGCCGAGAAGGGCACAGAGTGTAAAATTGTTCCTTGGGCAGAGATCAAAGCGTACGGGGAGACATGACACTGCGCTTCTTGCATGACGAACGCGGCTGTTGGATGCTGGCCGGCGGCGAGCGCCCCAGAGGGACTGAGTTGTACGTAGGCATTAGGGCTTTGCATGGGACCTCGAGGCTGCAGGAAAGCGTATGGATTTGGTGAGAGGATCTGCGTAAAAGCAGGCGTATGGTGGAAGTGGTGGCCTGGCGAAGCACCGGAGCGGGGACGGTGAGACTTACTTCTCGCGGTTCGAGCAGGTGGAACAGATGGAAGCATCGGGGAGGAGCATGCAGTCTTTTTGGAATGGTGGAAGACGGTGCTGGAGGAAGGGTTCGTGGACTGGGAGGCAAGAGTATGCATGGGGGAAGGTGTGGGGTTGTTCGATGGTTGGGGGTGATCATGTAGGGTGTTCCGTAGGGAGCGTGTAAGATCTAGCGGAGGAAAGAAAAAAAGGGAAACATCAAACAACGAAAAAACATCGATTTAGGGCAATCATACATTACCTAAGATTTTCAAGGTTAAGTTGAGCGTTCAAAAATACACAAATAAGTAAAAGCATTGATTTCTTAATGCAGATAAGCTTTATTGTAACAGCAATAATACGTATACTCACGCATTACAATAAATCATTCACGAATGCTGGTAAATTGATTAAAATTAACAAATAATGAATGTAAAAATAGCGAAAACAGACAAAATTTTTAATTTGGAAATGTATTTGGTTAATTTTTCTATAATTGATTACATATGTTCTCAGTCACCAAGATCGGCAACAACCTCCCTTATTACTCGATTTTCTAATTGACAAAAATATGCTACATAAATCGTCAATGGATTTGATTAACGAGAGTTCGGTTCAAACACGTATTATCGCAAAAGATTGAGCCCGTATTACCGACGCTTTTTGGACCCGAATCACCTTAACTATTTAAACCTGCATAACCGCAACTGCAATTTGACTCCGCATAATCCCAACTGTTTGAACCCGTATTATTGCAAAAATTTGAACCCATATTGCTGCAACTGTTTGAATCCGTATAACTAACTGTATGTGTATTGCATATATAATTAATACGTATACTTTAACTATTATTTCTCTGCCTGGAATTTCTTGTGCCACTAGAATTCATTTCTTCATTTATTTTGATATTTTATTAAACATTTCCAAAGATGCGATCCAAAAATCTTATATGAATAAAAGTTTGGGAATGTAAAGTAGTTTTTAAAGAAGTTTTTAGTGTGAACTTGTGATAACAGCATGCAATGTCTAATTCGAGACACAATGAAAAATAAAATTAATCATAAAATGTAAGACAACTTCAGGAGTGCGAGAAAATAGCCGCTGTAAAATACCGAATTATCACTGAAATAAATAAATATTAGCTACTTAAAATAAAGGCAATAAATATCTGCTAAAGGTAGCATCTACATGAGCAGCAAGCTTTATGATAATGATAAACAAAAACAACAGCCAAGGAGTGGAACAGCCACGTTTTATGGTGAAAATATTTCAATGGAAAAGTCTACAAATGAATCTCTACATACATAAAAGACATTTTATATGGTAAGATGGTACAATGCAGCATTAAAATGCGTACAATGAGCCATCTCCCGCTTAAAAATAAAAAAAATTACTGTAGAACCGACAGTAAAAGTTGGCAGAGGCTCAAATTTTGGTAATTGGGACAAGCAAGGAATGCCCGAGAAGATCCTTCTGAATTTTTAACGGTCAGCGAGACCGAGGGTAAACCGGAGCGGTGAGGGCGGAAAGTGAGGTAAGAGGGACGGCCTTTTGCCTGTACAGCGGCATCTGCCTTCTGCTGTAAAATGCATGCGCGGCGGTGGCGGAGGAACAGGGCAGAATTGGGATATTGCGGTACTGCATCAAGACGTCTCGATATTGCGGTACTGCATCAAGACGTCTCGATATTGCGGTACTGCATCAAGACGTCTCGATATTGCGGTACTGCATCAAGACGTCTCTTAGTGGCCGAGTAGTTAAGATCACAAAGATTGGACAGTGAGGTGGGGCTTGAAACCTGCAACTAGTTGTAAAAATTGTGGCCTACAACAGTAATGTTGAGAATCAGTGTTAGACTAACACGGCTAAGGCATAGCTCACACCACCATATTATATCAGGATATTTAGTCGCTGCACAAGCCTTGGTGAGAGATTTCCTGGCAAGTTACTAATTCCATTTAATAATAATGAATCTTGCGTTGCATTGCGCTGCACTAGAGACGGGTAAATTGAGGGACTGCCTCCAATAATAATTAATATTACGCAGTATTTTGTTTCATATTACGCAGAGGAGAACAAGCGTGTTGCTACAGCAGGTGAGAACACGTGTATTATGAGAGCGTGAGAGATCACGCGTATTGTGAGAGCGTGAGAGACCCCCCATATTGTGAGAGCGTGAGAGACCACGCGTATTGTGAGAGCGTGAGAGATCACGCGTATTGTGAGAGCGTGAGAGACCACGCGTATTGTGAGAGCGTGAGAGACCACGCGTATTGCTGTCTCTTATACACATCTAGATGTGTATAAGAGACAGCTACTATACCATGCAGTATGCTTGTGCACGGGAAAGTGTTATAGTGATGGTGGTATATAGGACCTGTCTCTTATACACATCTAGATGTGTATAAGAGACAGTGTTGTAGCAGCGTGGGAGAACGCGCGTGTTGTAGCAGCGTCGAGTGGTTTAAAAATCAATAATTTCGTTCACTGCATCTGATCTCATAACCGTAAAAATAAATGTCCAGAAAGAAGAAATTGCCAAAAATGTTAAAATGTTCAGGAATTATAAATTTTTGGAATTGAGAAATGTTTAGAATCGAAAATCGTTTAGAAACACTTAACGGTAAATTCTCGGTTAAAAAAAAATTTGAAAATAATTTACTGATATATAATTCAGTAAACCAGCAAGCATTTCAAGCGTATGAGAAGCTTGAAACTCGTATTAAAATGCAAAAAATTATGGGAAAAATATTTGCTACGAATTTTATGAGTCAACCGATAATCTAAGAGAAGAAGTAAGGCATTTTTGCACGTTTTCTTGTTGTCGGAAATTAATGTGGTAATTAGTTATTGAATTAATCGATGTAATTAATTAATTTTCTGAAATTATCAGATGTTGGTGGTTGGGAAGAAAGGGGCTTGCTGGGATTTCGAACCCGTGAAGGCAATAATTTAATTTAATAAATTTAAGCAGTTGCTGCGCACTCACGGCGTTTATGGCTCCTACCACTTAACCTCATATATGCTACTATACCCTGCAGCATGCTTGTGCACGGGAAAGTGTTATAGTGATGGTGGTATATAGGACAGCGCTGGTTGCTGTAATGCACCCGACCCAGACAAATTTTGGCCCGAAAATAGGGCTTATCAGTGCTACTTCCGTGACATCTTCATGATGATGGTAAGGTTGTTTGTCAATATTTGGGCAATATGTGCATGAGCGTAAGTGCATTCAAAAAAGATAACAAAAATTGGACAATCAGTCAAGCTTTAAGACTACGAACAAGTAGTTGTAAAAGAAAATAAAAACATGCATGCAAAGTACGAGAACATCACACTGGAATGGAACTTGATAAGGTGGAAACTATTTCTCAATGATAAATACCCTTTTCTGCGACACCCATCAGATTATTTATTTATCGGGGGACATTGGCACACTATAAGACGAATAAGAAAAGTTGCGAGCATAGAAATTGAGAGCTGAAATGGATAGCATTACTGAGGGCCAAATCCATAGTGAAAATAATAATCAGCTGCAAATTCAATAAAAAAGGCCGCAAGGACATTCGTGGCTAAAATAAAAATCGCTAATCTACGCAAAACCCATTCACAGTATCGACAAATAGGCAATCATGTCATCCTTTGATACAGACCACAAAAACGAAAGCAGGAGGGTCTAAAGACAACTGCAAAGTTCACCACAAATACTGTCTGAATTTAGTCCATATTGCCACTCACCTCTCTGGATCATAAGCAACTTTCCGCGTCATTAACAGGCATATCTAGCAGCCCATCTTTCTTGATAACCACTAACGTTTCTAGTCTACACATCCACCTCACTGTTTCGCTTTACTCAATCCCCACCAGCATTACCCGTCTAGATCACATCCAACTCAGTAACTCACTTTACTCATTCACCATCAACTTTTTCCGTCACATTCAAGTCTTGGTCCACATATATCGACTGTCCCACCAACGTTCCTAGTCTGTTACACATCTCACCTTTCTCGAGGGGCGCTTTCTTGTATTTCTCAAGCCTCTTGGCAGCAATGGCCTCGAGACGCACCCTGGCGGCAGGATACTCCTTCAGAACGTCCCACATCGCCTGCTTCGACAGCACGAACAGGTCGCTGTAGCCCACTGAACGCACTGACGCCGTACGACGGTTGCCTGGTGAGGTTAAGTTAGGTTATGTTAGGTTAGGTTGCGTTAGTCCAGGCTAGGTTAGGTTAGATAAGACTAAGTTAGATTAGGTTAGGTCAGGCTAGGTTAGGTTAGGTTGCGTTAGGTTCAGTTAGGTTATGTTAGGTCAGGCTAGGTTAGCTTAGGTTTGGTTAGGTCAGGTTAGGTTGCGTTCGCTTAGGTTAGGTTTCGTTAGGTTAAGATAAGTCAAGTTAAATTAGGTTAGGTTACATTAGGTCAGGCTAGGTTAGTTTCGAACGAATCAGCTTGGCTCGAGAATGCATTAGAGAAATGAATGTTGATATATTCATGGATGTTTCAAGGTACGTCTTACAAGCGCATTCAAAAAGAGATGATGGGTAAGTTCATTAAGCTGGTATCTACCATGGACGGAAAATTAAAAGTTCTTTGTAATGAAACTCGTATTAGGAATCTCACCAGCTGTGCCCATGTTCAGGATGGATATCTCACCAGCTGTGCCCATGTTCAGGATGGATATCTCACCAGCTGTGCCCATGTTCAGGATGGATATCTCGCCGAAGTAGCAGCCTGCCACCAGAGAAGCCAGCATCGTCTTGCCGTTGTCGGCCACCACCTCCAGCTTGCCTCTGTTGACTATGTACATCTCCTTGCCGACCTCGCCTGTAGGTTCATAAGTAAATAATTTATTTCATATTGAATTGATAAAATAATGTTTAAAAAGTTCTAATAAACGCATGCAGGCTCAACTCCCGCAATTATCATAATTTTATCGTGTGTTTCATTTTAGATTAATAGAATTAAGCTAATAAAATTTTTCAAGCAGAGTTCAGGTTAAATTATTTATTTTATTTCACATTAATAGCATCAAATTAAAAAACAACCGTCAATGCCTGCACGATAAACATTAAATATTGCAATCAATTTAACACGTTGGCCGCGATGTGCGCCATATATGTACACGCTGTACTTCTCAGAATCGCGATGTGTACACATGTGGTACATTCATATGAAAAATACATATTTTTGTAAAATCTTATTACTCTTTCAAATTTAAAATTTCAATGATGCAATTAAATAGGCATATTAGGGAATGCTTATGACAGAACATACCCCTGCAGAGCTGCACACAACTTTTCTCCTTGCTATCTGCCGGGTAACTGAAGATATACAAGTTTGAACCTATCGCCCGTACGGCATTCGGGCCAAATCAGCAATCGCGGCCAACGTGTTAAAACAATAAATTCAAGTTGTCGAATTTTAGTTGCTTTAGAATTCACTTCTCAAGTTTCAATCAACTTTGGTTCAATTTTTAGATCGTTGCAATTTAGTTCCCTATCTTCATCTAATCGATTTTGGTTAAACGTGCTTCGAGAATATTTTATAAAGAGGAATATAATCATTAGGAATAATCTATTGGTATAAGTCACTTGTTGGTATAAATTCACTTTATTAATAATTATCTATCGATATAAGTCACTCGTAAGTATAAATTCACTCATAGGACTTCATTGATAATTTCTTCCAGTTCACTGATATATACTCAGAACCGATGGAGTAACTTCACATTTCCTTTAATTTGATAAGAAGCTCGGCAAAGTAAGCGTCAATATTGTCGATAATTATTCGACAATACTAGAATTTAAATTACTATTACTGCTTCTCATGGGAGCTCAAGATCAGCAGCAGCACTTTTGTGGCGATAAAATAATGCGGATAACATTGCTCGGCGTTACAAAACAGCAGTTAGCTGCGCCGACGTTGCGTCTTTTGGAAAGACCGACATTCTCCGTACAGGAGAATTAAACGCTCGACCAGAATTAGAGTTCACGCTCAATGGAAGCCAATAACCATCAATCGAACCCCCCGCGGAGCATCCATTTGAATTTCCCAACTCTTAACTCTTCAGTTGCACAAAACTCGCAAACCGACTGACGCTTTGGCCTAGCATAGCGTCTGCCTCTTGGTGCAATACACTGTAAGAAAAATCCCCGTTAAGCGGCCTCACCGTCGTTCTAGCGGCCGGCCGCCAGGTGAAAAGAAACACCGTATGGCCGTTTTTATTCAAATTTAACACTAGAAACCAGTATAAACATCTGATAAAACGGATAAACGGTTTATTTTTACGTGGCGATCGGCCACTAGAACGCCGCCGGCCACTAGAACGCCGTTTTTTACCGTTTTTCGTAAAGTGTACGGAAGCTGGAGAAATATTCACTAACAGCTGCGGTACCAACCTAATATTCAGACGCAGTCCTGCAGCTAGTGTCACCAGACGTCACACTTGGAGAAATGAGCAAAAATTTTTTTAGATTGAAATTTTTTAAATTTAGACTGCGTCTAAATTTTTAGACGCAGTCTTGGCTCTATAGTGTCGCCAGACGCCATACTTAGAAAAATGGACGAGACATTGTCCAAATAACGATGCAAATAATATCCTCATGTAGGTCATCCTGACCCAGTTTGGTCCAGCAAAACGGCGTATATGTGCTACTTGCAGAAAGCTCGTCACTATTTGGACAATAAGACTTATTTGAGTGTAACATTGAAGCTGATATCGCCCTTCACGGGAGATCCGAAAAAGTCCCAGCGCCGTGATGTCATTTATAATATCTGTGTCTATCCCTTCCAATATAGTTGGTTTAAATGATGTATTTCTTTCATTAATCTTCTGCACTGTCAAATAGAATCAAAAGATCTATCTTACGTGTCAGAGTACCACGCTGTTTATCATCAATACGGAAAAGAGCCAACTAATAATCTAACGATTGTTGCAGATACATAAAGAAATCTTGTACAAATAAGCAACTTGCAATGATATCGAATAAATATGCTTTACATACCAATATCGAATAACCAATGATACGCCAAAATGCAGGAAGCACGTTAATTGCATTACAAAACTCTACGGATATCCGATTTATGATTTAAGTATCTATAGGGGTTAGATAAAACGCTTCCAAAGTAAAAATACACATACAGTATGTCCATATGGCATAAGTTAATACTTTTTCAAATTGAAAAATTAATACGGCTCAAGTTAAGACTCTCCTACAATTGAAGGATAATTCTATATAGGTTAGATAAGACGCTCCTAGAGTAAAAAAATACACATGTGGCAAAAGTTAATACTTTTTTAAATTAAAAAATTCATATGGCTCAAATTTGGACTCTCCTGCAATTGAAAGATAAATATGATTAAAGTAAATACGCTTCTAATATTAAAGCATAAAGTTTTGGCAATGTAAATGCGCTACAACGACTAAAGTGTCCGTGGTTAGAGGTAAAACTATCTTAAGAAATAAATATAATTACGGGTAGAGCTAAAACGCTAATCGTTTACAGGTGCGGCTGTAAATTCTGTACTCCCACCTGCAGTGCTCACTGAAGTTTTAGTTGAATGTTCTAATGCTTATAAAATTTTAGGTTTAATAACATTCTGGGCCAATAGAATTGAAAAAATTATAAATAAATATAATTGAAATTCTAAATTCATTAAAGAAACTCTTTTTTTCGGTACAGAAAACTCTCTGTAATTTACAGAAGCACACCATCACGCGCAAATGTGCGTGTAGGTGATGCGACTGCACGCTGAAAACGGCGTAAGGCGTAAGCAGCATCCAGCGTGGCCTGGGACTGCTACGTACATCAAAAATTGTTAACTATGAATACACGCGCACACATTCCATTGTTACGCGAGGCAGCTGGGATTGGAAAACAGCGTATTTTTAACATAACAGCATAACCCGATGCTGTTCATAATACGGTGCTGTCCATAATACGATGTTGCATTCGTTATACAAAGATGGGATCATAATACACGCTTCTGTATTCATAACACGCTGTTGTGTTCATAGTACATTGTTGTGCTCATAATAAGCTGCTGTGTTCATTATACGGTGTTGCGATCATGATATACTCTTGTGTTCAGAGTAGGCAGTATTGTTCACAATGCAATTCTATTAAAAAAAACTTTTGTGTCTAGAATACGCTGTTGTGTTAACAATACGCAGTTGTGTTCACAATACGCTGTTGTGTTCACAATACGCTATTGTGTTCACAGTACGCTGTTGTGTCAACAATACGATGTTGTGTTCACAATACGCTGTTGTGTTCACAATACGCAGTTGTGTTAACAATACGCAGTTGTGTTAACAATACGCTGTTGTGTTCACAATACGCTCTTGTGTTCACAATACGCTGTTGTGCTCACCATACGCTCTTGTGTTCACAATACGCTGTTGTGCTCACCATACGCTGTTGTGTTCACAATACGCTGTTGTGTTCACAATACGCTGTTGTGTTAACAATACGCTGTTGTGTTCACAATACGCTGTTGTGTTAACAATACGCAGTTGTGTTCACTATACGCTGTTGTGTTAACAATACGCTGTTGTGTTAACAATACGCTGTTGTGTTCACAATACGCTGTTGTGTTAACAATACGCTATTGTGTCCACAATACGCTGTTGTGTTCACAATACGCTGTTGTGTTAACAATACGCAGTTGTGTTAACAATACGCAGTTGTATTAACAATACGTCGTTGCGTTAATCCTCGCGGATTTACAGGATAGACCGTCAGAGAAGCTCTAAAGGAACAATGGCGTCGAGCATCAAAGTGGTTTTGTTTGTACTTCATCAGCCGAGCCTGACCAAGCAACGTGTTGTGAAATTAGACGTCGTACACCCACAGTCGCACAACCGAGAAATGTGCTGTGAAATTAGCAGGCGTACAATCGCAGTAACTCTGTACACAACCAAGCACCCAAGCTAAGTTTAGCGGCAGCAGTAAAACGGTTGTCCGCTTCACATTTGCAAATACGACATAACGGATGACGGAGGTAGGAGTCACGGAAGCATTAGCTTTCGAAGCATTAGACGAAAATCTGAAACATCCGGCGAAGTTCTTGCTTATTTATTTATATTTTTCGAAAGTTGGACTTTTGTTTTTTTTCCTTGATGGGACAGGAGTGTTTTACATTTTTAAGATGATGTATACATATTTACTAAAAAACGACCAGTTGAAAGTACACATGGATTCATCTATCGTGGAAACACAGTAAGTTCATAACATAATCTCTTGAACGTGTTGGAAAAATTAAATAAATTGAATTATCGACGCATTAAATAGAATTTGTTTGATAGAAACTGTAAGAATTGTGTTTTTTAATGTGTTAGTTAAACTGATTTTTAATGCTTGAACTTGTTCAGCACAGCCAAGATGAAAGTTCAGCTATAACAGCAGCTATAACAGCAGCCATAACAGCAGCCATAACAGCAGCTATAACGGTAGCTGTTACAGCAGCAATATCGTCGTTACTTACCTTGTTAGAATACTAAAGTTTCCAAATTTAGGAGCGTTCACAAAACCTGCGTTGGAGTAGACTTTTCATTCCACAGAAATTACAAAAGCGTGTTTTAGAAGAACATACACGGAAAATAAAAAATAACCTTATTAACATGATGAAAATGTTATAAACTATGCAAACGAGACCTCAACATATAACCTACCTTACAGTAACCAACTCACTGTACCAGACACACTAAAACTTTTTTATAAAACATTAATCTCGGAAGGTAATGACTCCGCAAGCCAACCACGGAACAATGGTATCGATAACTAATTATTGAATAAATAAGGAATAAATTATGCAGTATATAGCAAAGCATATATTATGCACTGTACTATAGTAAGTATGAATTAATAGAAGCTCACCACATCGCCTAACTTTCTCTGCAGCAACTCTGTCATTGGCGAACATCACACAATATTGTCCCAAATAAATAAATTTACAAATGGCTATTAGGAAGTTTGAATTTCACAACACGGACTCTCATTTACGAATTATTATTGTAAAATTTACGTAAGTTCAAAGTTTAAATATCTCGAATTGAATAGGACTATGATATGAGCGGCACAATTACGGACGGGTTGCATAGCGCCAGGGTTTGGAGAATTGACGTCGTCTGGCTTTCACAGACGTCGAGTCATGCGAGGCACCGCAGCCGCAGTTCGCATTATGCTAAAACGCTGGGGACGCACGGTAGGCAGAAGGCGCTGCTGTCGCTCAGTAATAGAATGCATGCAAAGTGTCAAGAGAGACGCGGCGTTAAATGTGCTACCTCTGCGCGGAAAGAGAGCAACGACGGGGAATTGCGGTACAACGGCGGCGAAGTGAGGTACAACTGTGGCAAATTGCGGTCAACGGCGGCGAATTGAGGTACAACTGTGGCAAATTGCGGTACAACGGCGGCGAAGTGATGTACAACTGTGGCAAATTGCGGTCAACGGCGGCGAATTGCGGTACAACGGTGGTGAAGTGCGGTACAACTGCGGCAAATTGCGGTCAACGGCGGCGAATTGCGGTCAACTGTGGCAAATTGCGGTACAACGATGACAAATTGCGGCGCAACGGCGACGAATAGCAATACAACGGCAGATAATTGCATAACAATGGCGGCAAATTGCGGTACAACGGCGGTGAATTACGGTGCAACGAATCTGAATTGCGGAGCAACGGTGGTGAGTACGAGTAACATTACTCCGTTTTATAAAGAAAAAATCTGGAACAATTATTTAAAAAATTAAGCCGGCAAAGTAAATGCGTGCTTATTAAAATCTTTGTTAGCTCCAGTCTTGTAAATCAGATGAATTCCCGATAACGCGTTAACACGCGCGCATCAAACACGTGTTGATGATGCGTCAACACTCAGACAATAAAAACGGAATAACGATTCGCTAAAAACCGACAATCAAGCAGTAAATTCCAAAACTGACGTCCCATACGTCAGACGCAAGCCAATTAAATTTCCCGAGGAAGAGGATCGATTCAAGGGCTTTGATGTCTGCGAGCCGACATAACAGAATGCGATATCGAAAAACAATGTTCAAGTTGAGAGAGGAAAGAACTCTTCACACATCGCGTGAATTTTTCCAGCGAGAAAACTTTAAGACTTCAAAGGCTGCCTTCATTTAGAAGCCTCCCCCCTTCACCCAGGGTGAGACTATCCCGTGTCGACACCCGAGCGGGATGTCACGGGACTGTGACATGGGTTGTGGGACGGGAACGTGTGACGAAGTGGTGGGTGCCAGGGAATTATGGCATGAGTTGTGGGACAGGAACGTATGACGCAGCGGTGGGTGCCAGGGAATTATGGCATGAGTTGTGGGACAGGAACGTGTGACGCAGTGGTGGGTGTCACGGGACTATGGCATGTGTCGCGGGACAGGGACGTGTGACGAAGTGGTAGGTGTCACGGGATCATGGCGTGGGTTGTATGACAGGAAAGTGTGACGTGGGGGTGGGTGTCAGGGAATAATGGCGTGGGTTGCGGGACAGGAAAGAGGGCTGCGTTGTACATGAGGAGAGCGCAGCAAAGGGTAGAAGGTGAACCGCATTCCACGAGAAACCGATCACATTCAGATGAAAAATTCAGTATGCCGAGCACGTGTATAACTTGAATAGAAAAATATATGGTCTATGTGGATTGAATTTAACGCTAAATTAGGTGAATTCGAGGGTTTTGCCACAAGTGAAAATGTTGTAGGAATATTTTAAATATATGGATGAAACTTAAAAATTGTAACTGAAAATGAAGAAATTCAGATTTTGTGTTCATCATTGTTCAATTTCACATTTTACAAACTCTCCGAACTTAAAATGCAATTTTCAAAAGTTTTTAGGTATTACGCAATTACGATTGAGATTAAAAGTTGGCTAAAATCGGTATTAATTAACTCGACTCTTTTGAATTAAAATTAGTAATTAGATATTTAAATTGAAAATTTGACCAAAAAACTTTTTCAAATATGGATAATGATTTAATGAGACGAAACAACCGAACCTTCGAAAGAGAACGGTAAAATTTGTTCTCGAAATCGTCACCGGACGATGAAAGAAACTCGTTTAAAAACACTCCGTGAAGTACTTCAATTATTTCAAACTTTGAAACACGGGATGACAAGAGAACAGGTCTCACACACGACTCTTTGATTGGTCAAGATATTACTCTTCCTGCTTATGTAGCCACATGGCGAGAATAGTGCAGGTCTTATACAACACTCTGTAGGTGTTCAATATATTACCTTTTCTACAGGTGTAGTCGCCTGGCGAGAATAGTGCAAGTCTTACACAACACTCTTCGGACGTTCAATATATTACCTTTTCTACAGATGTAGTCGCCTGGCGAGAATAGTACAGGCCTTATACAACACTCTTCGGACTTTCAATATATTACCTTTTCTACAGATGCAGTCGCCTGGCGAGAATAGTACAGGTCTTATACAACACTCTTCGGATGTTCAATTTATTACCTTTTCTACAGATGCAGTCGCCTGGCGAGAATAGTACAGGTCTTATTCAACACTTTTCGGACTTTCAATATATTACCTTTTCTACAGATGTAGTCGCCTGGTGAGAATAGTACAGGTCTTATACAACACTCTTCAGACGTTCAATATGTTACCTTTTCTACAGATGTAGTCTCCTGTCGAGAATAGTACAGGTCTTATACAACACTCTTCAGACATTTAATGTATTACCTTTTCTACAGATGTAGTCGACTGGTGAGAATAGTACAGGTCTTATACAACACTCTTCAGACGTTCAATATGTTACCTTTTCTACAGATGTAGTCGCCTGGCGAGAATAGTACAGGTCTGAGCTTGAGCACGAGCTCGCATAGGAATCCCGCCTCTGTGTTCTGGAAGATCTCGACCCTCTTGAGCGTGTCCAGGTGCACGTGGATTGCTATCTCTGCCTTCAGCTTATCTGCGGGAGTTAACAAACCCGTAAGTTGCATGCCGAATAAAATTTATTGAGAAATACATACATTAGGGAAATATGGATGAAGGACAAACATTTTTGTGTGCTTGAACATAAGCTAACCCACAATTTGTGGATATCGAATTTTTTAAATTTTAACACGTACATTGACGATAGTCTTGCTGTATATTAATGTGTGAATGTCTATGAATTAAAAATTAGCTAAAATCTACACAAGTACCACGAAATTGAAGTTAGTGCTCGATTTGTATTTATATTATTTCTGACAGCTTAAACATATACCGGAAGCCATGCAGTCTTTAAGTTAATACACGTTATACACACACGTAAAAGCATGTGTGAAATGAATGTCCAAAATCACAACGCAGCCAATAAAATATCTCCAGTTTATTTTTTAAGAAAGATTATTCATTTATAATAGGCAATTTTCCTAATAGCAAGTAGCAATAACCAAGCGATACATTGAAGGTTTGGTTTAATTTCACTTCCGAGCACTTAATATTTGATTCAATGATAACGAGGCTGACGACAAAGTTCCAAGGCGCTAGCGGCTGATGTTGCTTAGAATAGTAAAATTTTGCTCAAAATTTTTACCCCCAACGACGCAGGTACATCATGGCGACCTTTGAAACATAACTCCCAATGACGCAGGGTCGTCAGGGTTTTGGTTTAGTTTTAATGGCCACATGTTTACTAGCGCTTCAGCGATCTAGCTGTCTCGCACCGGAAGTCAAGATGAACATTACCAAAGAGGTGGAAGGTCTCAATTATCGAAATATTCTCAAATCAAAAATCTTTCATCACCCATAAGGTGCTGCAGGTCTCAAGTGTCCAGCCCGCTGATGCTGGTTCGAAAAAAGCAGCTTAAGCATCTCAAAGGGACGAAGTGACAAGGAGGGACAGGTGACAAGGTGGGACAAGTGAAAAGCAACAGAAACTATAAGACACTCGAACACAAGGTCTCTTACGCGGAATTAAGGTCGGCCGCCCGCACGAGTGAGACAGAGAAAAGAAATGTAAGGAAACCTGCCCACATGATAGCTTAACCCCACAACTGAGACCCGCAGTCAGACACCGCGAGCTCAGTGGTGGGGCGCTCAGGAACAATGCCCTTAAGAATGTGAAATCTCATAGGACTTCACTTCTGACGAGCTCAGACACACGTCAAAAGGCCCCCTGAGGGGAGGTGTGTCATGGCCTTCCCTCGGACATCTCGCTACTTGCATTACCAATGCTGAGAAGTGTTACCGTCAATCATTGATATTGGAATAATTGATTTCGGTAGATTTTAGTATCGATTTCTATTTGGAATGCAAAAATATTATGAAACTGTAGTGAGGAAGGGACACCGTGGGCAGTGTACATTTGCCTATGGATTATATCCATCTTTGGAACTTACGATAAGCGAAGCATTATTTTGCCCATGGACTGAGATGTTAAACTCGTCATAAGGTCATAAGGTATAAGGGCATTATATTGCTGGGGATTTGGTTTATTAAGCGAACAAAGTGATGAATAATTTATCCTCCATCAGCTAGAGAAAGACCTTCTATCATCAATTTGAGACCCTCTAGAGAGAGACACTCCATCATCAATATCAATCTAACAAAAGTAAATAATAATAATAAATACTACAAGAGGCAATTATCCTGAAGCCTTCGACGGGTCAAATCCCGCGCGTTAAATTCAAGACATATTTTGCAATCTTATTCAAGAGATTATATCTACCTTTAATAATGTCGGCAATAATAAAAATAGAGTAAATTTGCATCATTCTGATTGAATCGCGTCTTCCTAAAATAAAATGATGTCCAGTTTTATCTTTTGGAGCCGCTGCTCAATCTTGGACAAAAACTGCAATTTTGAGAGCCGGGCGAAGCGAGAATGCAAATGAGGCGCTCGTGCCAGCGACAGATGTGTATCCATGCGACACCTGCAGCTGAAAAAATTACGGAAAAACAAGAGGTCGGGGTATGAAAATAATTTTTTAAATTGATGTGAGGGAAAATATTAAATTTTGAACTCTAATGTTTTCGGGATAGAGAAAGACAATCCGTGAATATGATAGAGACATAAATGATGAGTTGTTTTCATGAATATTCTTCGCTATGGCAGTCCGAAAAAGAGACAAAACAATAGAAAACATAAATTAATGAGGAACATGTCCCGAAATTCGAACGCAAATAATCGAATTTAGAAAACAAAAATCAAATATTGCCCGATAAGAACAAGTGAGCCATTGAAAATATTTATTTAAGGTTCCTGCATTGCAAAAAATATTGATGAAAAAGATAATTATTTACAATTAAGAAAAATTATAATTACAAAATTTTATTAACTCCGCCGTTAAAAAACGCGTTGTTAATTTAAGGATATAATATAGATATCTTCGATTAAGCATGTAAAGAATAAAAATTTAAAAATAACGAGCTGCGATTAACAATGGAAAGGATTTGTTTGGACGTCAGCTAATGGAATAGAATCTCACCACAGATTAGTAAAGTCTGATCAGTCAAGTCAGAGTTTAAAATTTTTCTTGAAGGAAGTTCATGCCCTAATGTCGATTGGTTGAGTTACGAACACGTGCTTGACGTCGCACTTCATGCGTCAGTCGCTGTCGGTTGCTACGCTAACTTGTGGGCAGCGTCGTCAGTGACAGCATTTCATACGTCAGTCACTACCGATTGCTGCGCTAACTCGTCGGCAGCGTCACAAACGACAGCACTTCATAAGTCAGTCACTACCGATTGCCGCGCTAACTCGTCGGCAGCGTCACAAACGACAACACTTCATACGTCAGTCACTACCGATTGCCGCGCTAACTCGTCGGCAGCGTCACCAACGACAACACTTCGTACATCAGTCACTTCCGATTGCTGCGCTAACTCGTCGGCAGCGTCGTCAGCGAAGAAAAGTTTCGCTCGTCTTGGGGAAGTTTGTGGCGCAAAGTTCCTGATGGCCTCACCAAACCTTTGTCGTTGAGGCCACATTCCGCTCCTCACAACATACGTGAAAATCTGATGAGCCTCGCATGACCTCAGTGGCACTGCCATACATATTGGATTGCCTAAAGACGGATAACTTACATGCGTTCTCGGCCACTATGGATCAGGGATATGTCTGCTGTTGTTTCAGAATTATCATACTATAAACCTGGTGCTGCATTAGGTGATTTCCCAGACGTTTTCATTAATTTTTCTCTTTGTGGGCTCATTTTATCTGCAGTGAACGTTTCAAAAGTCATTTTACATCTTGTCATAAATTAAAAATTAAGATAACTTCGCAGTAGATGCCAATGTACAAAAGTTATCTTGCGCAAATGTCTAGAAGCTACTTTGAAAATGAAACAGAATGTTACAGATTAAACACGTTAATAATGTTTGTTAAACTAAAATCTAGAGTTTCCCCACTGCAACACCACAGCCCGAGCCTAGACCGGAGCTCGAGTCATCCGCGTGGTCGCCTTGCTTTGAATAACTTAAGAGCACAGAAGCAGGGGGCGAGAACTGAGAATAAAACTGATTAAGGTTCATAATCTCTCTTGTATTATCTTAGTCGTTCAAATTGTAAAAGAAATAATATCTGCTATTGTCTGGTATCGCACAAGATCTGAAATAGAGTTTGTTATGTTAAATGTCCTCTGATATTAGATGAGAATTAAAAGGTAATTTGAAGTTTGAAATGATAATAATTTTTTATTCGTCTGATATCTAACACGATGAAAATAAAATAAATTTTCTGTACTGATCCAACTTGGCAGGTATTTGGTCGGGACAACTCGTATTGTGACACATCTTAATTGTCAAAATTTGAAAGAGATAATAGAAAAAAATGTTTTTGGAGGTATTAAAGTCCCTTAGAAAAAATTGTTTTCATATCTAGATGGTCATGTTGATGTGTTGACGCATATATATTACACGTATAGACAATTAAAATTGAACGTAAGCCAAGGAAGGCACGAAGAAAAGATGAACTAAAAGTAGGTTTAAGGTTACATGCAAGAGCAGAGCAGAAGTAAGGAAGAATACAATAAATGAAATCAACGAATGACGTAAGTCTAAAAAGAAGATAAAACAAAAATTAGAAGCCAGGAAGTGGAGAGATGCAGGGCATTGTTGTAAGAAAATAGGAATGTGCGAAGAAGAGCGGCGAGTAAGACAAAAGGAGGCGAAGGAGGAAACAAGGAAGAGGAGGAATGAGGAGGCGAAGGAGGATACAGGGCAAAGAGGAACAAGGAGGAGACGATGCGGTTGCTTTTCGGCTGTCGCGTGTTAGGTTCAATCGCGACACAGCCATGGTTTTCAAATTGGACAAATTCATCAACCGGTCAAGGTGCAAGCTTTAACCTTGGACCGGTCACGGCGCAACATTGGCCCCCCATTTACCGGTCACGGCGCAACCTTGGCCCCCCATTTACCGGTCACGGCTCAACCTTGACACCCCATTTACCGGTCACGCCGCCGCAACCTTGACCCCCATTTACTGGTCACGGCGCAACCTTGGCCCCCCATTTACCGGTCACGGCTCAACCTTGACTCCCCATTTACCGGTCACGGCTCAACCTTTTCCCCATTTACCGGTCACGGTGCAACCTTGGCCCCCATTTACCGATCGCGGCTCAACCTTGACTCCCCATTTACCGGTCACGGCGCAACCTTGACCCCCATTTACCGGTCACGGCTCAACCATGAACTTCAGGCACGCGGATATTATGGAAGATTGTGCGGCGTAAACTTGACTTCCCGCGACGCATTTGGCCTTCATGTGGCGCGTGGAATAAAGCGGGAATTTCGGGGCCGCGGCCAAAGCAAACTTGCAAGGCAACGACTTCATTTCGAGCGCTGGAACGAGGTGAACGTGACTAAGCCAGAGCTGTTCGCGCAAGGCTGCTATATACAAGCGCCTTAATGTGGCTACACATTGGCATCAAGGCTGTTACATGTGTTTACAGTGGTGACAGGCGTGTATTGTGGCTGTTAAAAGTGTCTGTAAGTGGGGACACGCGTGTATCAAAGCTATTACAAGTGTCTGAAAGGCGACACACGTGTAACAAGACTGTTACAAGCGTCTGAAAGTGGCGACACGCGTGTATCAATGCTGTTACAAGCGTCTGAAAGTGGCGACACGCGTGTATCAAAGCTGTTACAAGCGTCTAAAACTGGCGACACGCGTGTATCAATGCTGTTACTAGCGTCTGAAAGTGGCGACACGCGTGTATCAAAGCTGTTACAAGTGTCTGAAAGTGGGGACACGCGTGTATCAAAGCTGTTACAAGTGTCTGAAAGTGGGGACACGCGTGTATCAAAGCTATTACAAGTGTCTGAAAGTGGCGACACGCGTGTATCAAAGCTGTTACAAACGTCTAAAACTGGCGACACACGCGTACGGATGTATATTACTGCATGTATTGCTGCTGTAGACAAGCGGCAACAGCTGCAGCTGATATAACTGCTGTACGCAGGAAAGATATACGAGTTTCTTGTATGAAACTAAAAAAAGAGTTTTGTGTGAAAGTGGAAATTTGATATTTGTATGAAAGAAGAAATTCGATTTTTGTATCAAAGTAGAAAATTAATTTTTGTATCAAAGTAAAAATTTAAGTTGTATGAAAATGGGAATTTGAGTTTTTGCATGAAAGTTGAAATTTGAGTTGTTTGTAGTGAACTAAAATTTTTAGTTTCTGTTCAAAATTCTCGTGCGAAACAAGAAATTCAACTTTATAGTAGGGCACGTTCCTCCTGAACTGCCACGTGTCTCTAGATCATCTATTGAACACCTGCTCCAGAGGGAGCGACAAAGGCATTGTCTGACCCTGGGAATAATGTGTGATTATGTCATCACTTTGTATTATATCATCACACTTTGGCTTTACTTTATAGCCCGGACAAAGGGCGCAGAAGATTGGTTCGTTGTGTGGTGCATTTCATCTTTATTTCGCAGTTATCTTTCAATCGTTATATGGTCCATTAGGTATCTTAACTATATAGCTTAAATCAAGCTAACAAGTTTTTCTAATAAAGTTCATGGGTTTTTATATAAGAGGTTATGGGCTTTTTCGTGCGCCATGTGTACATTCAAATGATACATGCAAATTAATGTGTTTAACTAACAATGAAAAGTAAATCTGTTAATTTAAAGAAAGAAACTTTCCCAAGGCTACTCGAGTTTGCTTTGGACCTTGTTATCATTTTAAAGAATGTTCGAGGTAACAAAGCGCGTTGTTCTCATTGAACTTTGTTCCGTTGTTCTGCAAGGTCTAGTCGTCGATATATGGACTGTAATAAATCGTATGAATGGTCGATTTTAGCACAGCAACAAATCGTATGAATGGTCGATTTTAGGACAGCAAAAAAATCGTATGAATTGTCGATTTCAGGACACCAACAAATCGTATGAATGGTCGATTTTAGCAAAGCAATAAATCGTATGAATGGTCGATTTTATGACAGCAATAAATCGTTTGAACGATCGACTTTATGACATCAATAAATCGTATGAATGGTCGATTTTACGACAGCAATAATCGTATGAGTGGTGTGTGGATATAAGTGCATATACGAGGTGAACATATAGTAGCCTAGTTAAATGTTCATATTATTTACCAGTAAATTTGTTCACTCTATGATGTGGCCTAGTTTCCTCTGCAAAACCATATGCATCAACTTAAGTATGTATAACATCAACTTAAGTATAGCTGTGTAGCATTAAACACAATATCTTCTGTATAACATGAAATTCAACCTCTGGAGTGTAAAATTAATACATCTACTTTAGTATAACATTAATACAGCATGCAGCGTTTTGTTTCAACCATTTTTTGTACTATTATTTCCGTAGCCCTAATATAAGAGAACCTATTCGCGTTGTGGGATAATGATTGGGCACCGTGAGGCACTATATGAAGTTACTAATGGCTATACTGTCACTACCTGACAGTGCAGATGGCATTACTGTCTCTCACCTGGCAGTGCATATAACATTACCGTCACTTACCTGGCAGTGCATATAACATTACTGTCACTCACCTGGCAGTGCATATAACATTACTGTCACTCACCAGGCAGTGCATATAACATTACTGTCACCCACCTGGCACTGCATATAACATTACTGTCACCCACCTGGCAGTGCAGATAACATTACTGTCACTGACCAGGCAGGCCGCTGACAGCTCGCTCCTCGTCAGAACACTTCTGTGTCAGCCACAAGTAGTCGAACCATTTGATGACCTTCCCCTGTAGGTGCTGCGGCACCCGCCTCATGCGCATGTATGTCTTCACGCCGTCCAGCTTCGCTGCAATCAGGATTTAGTTTTTAATAATCGTTAGGTTTTTAATTTTTTAATCGTATTTTTTAATCATTAAAGTTTTAATAATTATATTAGTTTTTAACAATCATTAAAGCCTCTCAAGTTAGCTGTAAGCGAAACAAATCGTCATTTAATATTACAACAATCAATAAAGACGTACTACTTCGCTGCAATCAAATCATGTGATATTTATATTATTTTTAAATAATAATTAAAGCCTTTCATGTTAGCTGTAAGTGAAACTAATCGTCATTTAACATATTTAATATTACAACAACCGTTAAATTCGTCTAGCTTCGCTGCAATAAAACCATATCATGATTTTCATATAATTTTTTAATAACCATTAAAGCTTTGTAAGTTAGTTGTAAGCGAAACAAATCATCATTTATTCATTACATCAATCATTAAAGTCGTTCAGCTTCGCTGCAATTAAATTTCATCGTGATTTGTATATTATTATTAATAGTAATCTTTGGAGTTGTTCAGGTTGGTTGTAAGCGAAAGATTTAAAAAATTTTACGTATTATTTATTATAGTTGTCCTTACAGGCGTCAGGCTTTAATGAAATAACATATATTATAATTTACGTATGATTTTAAATTGTAACTATTGAAGCCGTCCAGATTGGCTGCAATTGACATAATTTAGATACACACTTTGTGTAATGATTATGTTGTGTAGAAAATAATAAAGAAATTTGTAAGCATATTTTTAATCAAAGTATTGTACGTATTTTTTATTCAGAGTTTCAGAGAGTATAGTCTGAAATTTCAAAGAGTATTCAAATTTTCATTAAATTTACGATGTTCAGTTACTTAAGAACACATAAAATGAATGAATTATTTGGGTGCCTCCGTAAAAATTATCTAGGCAATGACATTTCTATATTAAATAAAATGAGACTAGAATTGAAAGTTAGGACATTAAAAAAAATCGAAGTAATTTTTATTTTTATCAACTCATTTTCTGCTATTTTTGTTTGTTTGTTATATTAATGAGGATACCTTTCAGTATATTCATGGTCTTAGAAATCAATATAAAATTAATTTGTAATGACGAAGTTACCGGCATTACTGTATTTCAAACCAACCTTGACAAATTCATATGAAGTCTTTTTACTTTTACAGTCGCGGCTACATTCGCTGCTAAGAAATTATTCATGCAACTCTCTTCACAGCCTCCACATACACAGCCTCGGTAATTGATAACGAGAAATAAAGAGCTGTGACATTCTTTCGTTATTTAATTGCAATATCCATCTTCCCAGCATGCCTGGTAAATTATATTGTTCTTATCGACCGCCGTGCATCTCAACTTTTTCCTCCGTTAAAAAAAATCCTCGTGAGCTGGAGTAGTGGATCGCCGAGACTGGAAAGTAGAGGTAAAAATGCCCATCTCTTTAGCATACAAATGGCCATCGCATTTTACGCCGAAGAAAAAGTCCCGGATGATAAAAATCCGCAAAGGACGCCAATTGCAAAGTTCCTGAGAGACGCGCGGGCCACGCGATGGCGTCGTGGGCTGGAGAAGAGGAGAAGGTCTTGCCTGAATAACAAACATGCATTGAAATTGGTTTGGTAATTTAAGGATATGTTTTGGTTTTAGTGGTTATTTAGACTTATAATCTGAACTGTAACATTTTTCGACAGCGACTGGTGCGACAGCGCGGTGCCCGTATCGTTTGGTTAGGTTTGAGAATTTAAAGTATAATGTTTGAAAATTTCTCATCTAATATCGTCTTGCAATATTGTAATATTGATTATTTTACCGTGATGATTTGCTGACTGAAATGAAATTTCCTTCATTTAGTCTGAACAAATCGTTTGCTGTTTGGTAATAAATATAACGAATGCTTGAAAAAACAAAATTATCTAAGCCCGCATACTACAACTCAGTTCATGTCGATGTCTCAAGAACAATCATCAAGTAATCCTGCCAGTGCAAGTTTTTTTGCAAGTTTTAAATTCATCCTAGGGTTTTTCATCTGAATTTCTATGTAAAATTTGCATTAAATGAAAAATATTAACTCAATCGTAAAATTTAGATTAAAAAATATAAATGGAGAATGAATTCACGATTTAATGAGTGAAGTTTAGAGTCTATAAATAATTATACAGGGCGAGTCAATATGCGCTTCTGGCGTTAAAATATCTAAGGTCGTTGAGAAATCTTGAAGCTCTGAAATATTTATAAACTCTATAACATATAAGAGATTTAACATATCTACTATCTTCAAATATCCAAAAGATTTGAAACATCGAACTGCTTTTAAAACATTTAAAAGCTAACGACAGCCTCGCCATTAGCGCTGTCACAGTCTGGCGGACGCCTGGGCTGTGCTCTGAACAACGCTGAGAACGACAAAAATGGCAAAAATTTACGTCTGCAACTTTATTATAAATTCATAAAAGAGAATAAATTAAAGGTTTCGAAAACGTGCTAATTAAACTGCAAAAAAATATTTAATTCATCAAAATTCATCACGTTGGTTGATAGACTAGTAGCTTAGCTATCGAGAACTCGGGATTTGTAGTCCCCCGCAAACTGCGGTACAATTGGAGCTCAGAACGTGGGGATCAAAGAGCTCAGAACGAGGGGCGCAAAGAAGTCAGCACAATTTCACAACAAAGTTGCCATTTTCTTAGATTTGAATTACACCCGTGTTGCCATCCATTAAAATCAGCTTAACAAAGTTTTAAATAACTCTGTTTGCTGTCGCTGTAACATTTCTTAGAACAGTTTTTCATTACTCGCGGCTTTGAACATTCCACTATTACTCACGGCTCAGAACAGCCTCCTTTTGTCGTGGCTTAGAACAGCCTCCTTTGGTCGCGACAAAGAACAGCCTCCTTTGGTCGCGGCTTAGAACAGCCCCCTTTAGTCGCGGCTTAGAACAGCCTCCTTTAGTCGCGGCTAAGAACAGCCTCCTTTGGTCGCGGCTTAGAACAGCCTCCTTTAGTCGTGGCTTAGAACAGCCTCCTATATTCGTGGCTTAAAACAGCCTACTTTGATCGCGGCTTAGAACAGGCTCCTTTGGTCGCGGCTTAGAACAGGCTCCTTTAGTCGCGGCTTAGAACAGCCTCCTTTGGTCGCGGCTTAGAACAGCCTCCTTTAGTTGCGGCTATGAATAGCCTTTAATAAGTATAGAGTCTTAGAGTAGTCCTTTATTAGTCACGGCTTAGAACATCCCCATATGGCTTGGATTATTTAGCCCACTCCTTAATTACAAGTTGCTCAGTACTCCTAATCACGAGTGACTGGCACTGCCTCCATTTAAAAGGCATAACACGCTCTCGAATTATAAGTTCCTGGGACAAAATTTATTCGAAACTAATTAAAATTCTTTTCAATTATTACCTGCTGGGAGCGTCTTCCCTTAAACAGCATAGCACACTCTTCAGTCGAGTGTGGCCAGGACAGCCGCGTGGAGAGCTCGCTCCAAAATTAAAGTAATCAGTGCAGAGCCTTTAATGTGGAGAGGCTGGTGAGGCAGCGGAGAGTTGAAGCCGGAAGCGTCAATTAAGAGGAGCTAATATAGCGCTCGTTAGTGAAGCGCGTTAGTGAAGCAGCGTCCTCATTAGTGCACGTCACTTCAATATCAGCGACAACGCCTGTATTGTTGTGCTAAAAATTGACGACATTTCAGTTGATGGAGATGAGAAATATTGTGAACTTTAATTAACAGCGCGTTGGAATCTGAGTTCGAGGCTCGGGCTCGATTTAGAATACCTAATAGGCGAGAGAAATGATATGAGATTGATGAGTAAATGTGAGTGAAGGTATCAGAATACGCGATAGATGTGAGTAAATATATAGCCTCTTTATTGAGTGTCTTGGACAGTCGGTCCAAGGAAGGGAAATATTTTGGCTTCTCTATAAAAACTGATCAACATAAAAGGCTAATTTTCAACGTAAACAAAACCCAACGCAAACTGAAGGGTCGTGCACAATGGCTAGATTGACGATTACAATTAGACTGTCTTAATTGAAGCTCAATAATTGAAGGTATTCTGCGCTAACTTAACTGATAAGCTAAGTTCTTTATCTGCAGGTATGAAGTTCCAGAATATTGGCCCAGCAACAACCTCTCAATATCCCAAGAGGGTTAGCCAGATTATTTCAAGTCTAAGTTCAAAATTTATTAAGCAGTCGGTTTTATGTTCTTTGAATAAAATTTATCGCTCCCGGATGTAAAATAAATTCATTTTAAGGAATTGTTTAATAAATCTTCATTTTCTGAGCAGGAACAATGAATAATTTATGATGAGCTTAGCTATGCATTATAGGAAATTAATTAGTATTTGATTCCAGGTTGGCATATAAAAAAGTTGCTGGAAAATAAACACAAATCGAGAACTATAAATTATTATCTCTATACATATAATAGATAATTCCACCGTATAACAACGCATCGTGCACCTTATGACAGATGTTAAAAATTGCAATATTCATAAAATTGAAAATAAGAAAAACTTCTGAGCTCTACTGAAATGAGCAAAAATTTTGACTAGAAAAGATCGGAAATGATTGAAATTTTTGATCGGATATTATCGGAAATTTTGATTGATAATTGCTGAAATTTCGAGTAAAGTTTGGAGGATTATATAAGAAGGAGAAGTAAACGTGTAATCGATCATTTGAAGGCATGAACGCCAGAAGTTAATGTCTAATCCGTGTTGCCTGTGGACCATATGTCTTTTTACCTTATTGTAAATCAAAATAAGATTAGAGAGTCCACACACTCATCTATTGAATGGCCCCCAGTAAAACAGTGAAAATATTCAACAAAAATTCAAGATGCCATGAGACCGAAAAAATATATAAACCAAGAAAAAAAAACAGGAAATCCAAGAAAAAGAATGAAGTTAAGAGAAACAAAAAGATCAAGAAGAAAAGGGAAGGCCATGAAGAAAGAGGAAGGCGAAGAAGAAAGTGGAAAGTCAAGAAGAGGGAGGCTGACAAAAAAGAAGGTCAAAAAAACAGAGGAAAGGCTGCTCGATTTGCCACCTAAGTTCGTTAGTGAATTGCAAAGCCATTCGATTGGAAGAACCTAACTGCTTTACGAGCTCTGGGCATGCAGGATTGCCTGGAAGAAACCGCTGCAAATGTCCACTGCAGTGCTATTCAGAGACTGCATTTGCATGCATGATTCGAGGGCCCATACAGAAACGGTCTGAGTTTCGCCGTAGAGCTCGAAACTTGAAGCTGGAAATAATTCGGGAAGTTAGTTTCTGATAGTTTACCACGAGACTAGAGGATATATTGCATAAAGACTGCCTAGAGTGTCTGAGCAGATTTGTACTCAATAGCAGTATAAATTGCTGGGAAACTTTTTGATCTTTAATCTGAACGATCTGGTCCGTGAATGACAACGATCTGGTCCGTGAATGACAAGTTTAGGTCCGTGAATGGCAACGATCTGGTGCGTGAATGACAACGATCTGGTCCGTGAATGACAAATTTAGGTCCGTGAATGGCAACGATCTGGTTCGTGAATGAGAACGTTCTGGTCCGTGATTAGCAACGGCAAAATTCAGGTCAAATAAAGGCAACATGAACGCGTGACAAAGCTCAAAACGGAAATAAGTAGAAAACATACAATAGTGAATCGTGAAATGAAATCAAAATAATATATTTATGAATTCGTTATTTAACAGCTATTTCACACGATGAAGGCCAATTTTTTGCGACTATCACGAGAAACCATGACATTTGACATTTCTGAGCTTGATTATCAACGGAATTGGAAATGACATATATTCGAGAACTGTTCCAATTCCTGTTCGTTTTTAATAATCACGATCGACACTCTGATATATAAATATGAAAAAGTAATTAACGAAGAGCGTAGAAGTAGTCGGATTAACTGAAGTTCCCCCCTCGAAACTAATCACAGAGAATATGAAGAAATAAGTTATCAGAACTAATTAAAGATTAATCAATGCAGATGTCATGCTATTAATTTGAACGCGCTTCTGACTGGGACACATTCTCGTGGATTAATGCCAATCGCTTCGACGTTGAGGCTTAATTGTTGGATATTTGCTTAAATCCCGTAATTTTTTATTAGGGATTATAAAGCATTATGGAGGATTGACAGCACATGCTTTTAATTAATAAATAATTAATTAATTAATAATTAATAAAGCATAAAGTAATATTTACGGCAATTTTTCATTCCGGAACAGAAAAAAATTCCATGCAATATTACAAATAAAATATTTTTTTCTTGTAGGTTATCGTCTGAATGAAAAGGGAACTGTAATTATAAATGGAATATATATTATATTTAGAATATTGACCATGCATCAATATTTATTTATTTCAGAATTGCATTTAAATTCAAGTTCAGGGCGAATTAACGGATTTTGTATAACTTTTTTCAATTGAATTTATATCACTTGTTTGCTTAAATCGCAAATTAACTAAGAATTTAAAAGCAAAGAAAAGTCCACAAAAATTCATATCTTTATAGAAAACGTTTCGGAGACCAGCTCCATCGTCAGTTCGTAGATTCTAGAATCACAAATCAGAAGTCACAAATTAGTACATTGAAAGCACAGAAAAAAATTTAAAACCTAAATTTACAAGTAATAGACGGAGCAAAAAAACTATCTATTAACAATTTCAAGGGGATAGGAGCTAGCAGCTGAATTCAAACTGGGCCTAAGTTTAAAGATGTACAGCGATTCTAAAATGCGCAAATCGGAAGTCCCGGAGTCCCGTCACTTGACACATGAAAAAGTAGAGTTACCCTGAAAATATCTTTCCGGAAACAACAGCTTCAAACTGGGCTCTAAGAATATGCGTGTAGTGTCTGGGTCGTTCACTATAAAATATTTAGGCTATTTCATATTTCTGACAAATTTGTTTTTAAATTTTGTACAACTAATGCAGTTGTTTAGTTTAATTACATTTTTGCGCAAACTGTAGTCAACGCTGCATGTACTCAGCATAAAATATCTAAACAGAGAAGCAGGAATGCTGCTCCTGCATTATGTTATGATAAACATATGTTTTATTTTAAATTGCTTCGTCTCTAAATTTCGAGGTTCAGCCACACTCTACTTTGGAGGCACCGCAGCAACTGAATTGTTAGCACCATTTTATTCGCTTTGCGTCGTTCAAAATTAAACCTGAAATGAGAATAATTCGGCATTTTCCATAGTCTTATATTTATTGTTTGCTGATTTGTACCTTGATGCATTCAGAATGAATAAATTTGTGTTTGAATTTTGAAAAATCAAATTTTGAGTGAGACAAAAAATAAAAGAATTTTCGCCATCTTTGTTAGTAATGCAGCAACGAGTGACTTCACTTGGGCAAGAGGAAGCTACGACAAAGGCATGGAAAATGAAGGCATTGCATTCTTCTTCGTTAGGAACGTCGTTATGAACTTTGTTAGCAAGATCAAAAGTTTTGGAATGTAAGTGTAGGGTTGTTAGCGTTATGAAGGCAGTGAAGCCTGGCGGTTTGATGACCATGAAGGCTAGCGTTATGATGGTAGTGAAGGCCAACGTTTTGAGGGAAGAGAAGGCCGATGTTACGATGGCAGTGAATGCCAGCGTCAAAAAGGCTATGAAGGCCAGCATTATGAAGGCAGTGAAGGCCAGCGTTACGAAGGCAGTGAAGGCCAGCGTTATGAAGGCCAGCGTTACGAAGGCAGTGATGGCCAGCGTCATAAAGGCAGTGAAGGCCAGCGTTATGAAGGCAGTGAAGGCCAGCGTTACGAAGGCAGTGAAGGCCAGCGTTATGAAGGCCAGCGTTACGAAGGCAGTGAAGGCCAGCGTCATAAAGGTAGTGAAGGCCAGCGTTATGAAGGCCAGCGTTATGAAGGCAATGAAGGCCGGGCTTATAATGGCGGTGAAGGCAAGTGTTATGAAGGCAGTGAAAGCCAGCGTTATGAAGGCAATGAAGGCCGGCGTTATAATGGCAGTGAAGGCCAGCGTTACGAAGGCGGTGAAGGCCAGCGTTATGAAGGCAACGAAGGCCTGCATTATGAAGGCAATGAAGGCCAGCGTTATTAGTAAATGAAGGCCGGTGTTGCGATGGCGGTGAAAGCCAGTGATATGAAAACTGCAGAGGCCAGTGTTATGAAGGCAGCGAAGGCCAGCGCTATGATGGTAGTGAAGGCCAGCGTTATGAAGGCCAGCGTTATGAAGGCAATGAAGGCCGGGCTTATAATGGCGGTGAAGGCTAGTGTTATGAAGGCAGTGAAGGCTGTCCTAAAACTCAATTGATGATTAATCGCCTCTGAAGAGAAACCGCCGTGAACATCAATTCATTATTTATGATTCGCTTGTCAGGTTAAACCAAGCCAACGTGAATATTAATCATAATTGGCTAGTTAGTTAAATAAAACATTATGCCAACGTAATATGATGCTAAATTAAACATCATGCCATGGTAATATGATGCTAAATTAAACATCATGCCATGGTAATATGATGCTAAATTAAATATCATGTCATATTAATATGATGAGCCCAGATAGTGGCTGACGCTTGCTGTCACTGAAAAAAATTTCTCAAGAAATGCACCTGCGATAATGAAATGAAAATATGTGATACAAATTGAATGTATATGCGTATAATTTATATTCTAGAAAAATGAAAACTAAGACAATATTTTTAAGAATTTTGAACCAACAACTGAGTTCGCATAATTGACAATAATTATGATTTTGAATTGGAGATCGAAAACTTCCCTGAGAACCCCAAAAAACGAATGAAGCGAAATACGATCATAACGAATGATTGTTCAACTGTGTTTGTCGTGGTCTAAGTCGTAAAAATTTCTTTGAACAACCATTCTACAAGCAATTTACTCGCCAGAAATTTAAATTGAATTAAAATATAAATTCAGTAATTAAGTTAAAAAGCTCACCTTGAAACTCTTTCCTGGCGGCCGACACATTAGTGACTATGTTGGCGACGTGACCAAGCACCGTGGCGAAGAGCAGCAGCCCGAACATGAGCTCGAAGTTCTGGAAGATGTAGCCGCACTTTGATTCAGGCTTACGTAGGTCCCCGATGGTGGTCAGGGCCAGGGTGCACCAGTAAAAAGATTTGAGGTAAGCCAGCATCACGTCATTGTCAGCGTTGACGACGTGTGTTGTGTTATGGTGGCTCGCAGGGTGTGGATGTGTTTCGTTGGGTGATGTGGAGTTTGGTTCGGATATCCATAAATGGAAGATGCTGTCGCAGTCGGTCTTTTTGGCAATGATGTAGAACACGCAAGCGTTCCAGTGGAACGTCACTAGGAGGTAATGAATCAATATGATCGAGCGGAACAAGTTCGGAGAGTTCGTATGTCGCTCCGTTCTGTCTAAGAAATGCCAAAACTTGTATATTTTCACTAGACGGAAGCATCTTAGAATTGACATAAATTTTAGAGAAAGATATAAGAAGTCTAAGGGTAACAAGCATAAACAATCTATATAAAAAGTTGTTGAATTCATATAATGCGTTCTTAACTTCTTCGAGTCTGTTTGTAAGACTCCGTCTTCTAAATACCCAGTGCGGAAATGAAAACAAATATCTAGAACATATATAAAGTCGGCAAAATAGTCGAAGCCGAACCATATAAGCATAGTATCATCATTGATTTCTTGGAAGGCAAATCTGTACATCATAACCCACAAATTGTAGAGGAAGGCTAACGATACAACAACGGACCAATAATAGCAAAGTCTCCCCGCTGGGTCGAAAACAAAGCTCACATTCCGTACTCTAGTTTTCTCTGAGCTTCCCGTGCTGGTCTCCCACTTATCGCTTTTAAATCGACTTCTAATGTCCTTTCTTCTCGCATCTCTCGTTCTTCTGCTCTCGTCGGTCTCGGACGCGATACGCGTTCTGTTCACGTACGAAGACGAGAAAGAGTCTCGGGAAAAACGTTTTCGACTGCCGACGCTAATTTTCGACGAGACGATGTCGAGTAGAGACTGACGTGAGACTGACGTGCTTCTGAGCACCTCGCTAGTCGGCGGGGGAGACTGAAGGCCGGAGTTGAGGTGTGAACCAGAGAGGCTGATACGGCGGGATGTGATGATCCCTGAGGAAGGGGACATTAGAATTAATTTTATTATTAATTAATATACATTAAATTAATATTGTATTGTATTGCTATTCGTTGTTAATATCGAAGATAATGATTTTATTGATTATGGATTGTGGTAGTGATTGAGATCTTGTTCTTAATGATTGAGAGCTCGATGTTTTTATATCAAAAGATCATTATTTTTAAATAAATGTGTCTCATTTAGATGAATATGATGATAACTGCGGGCCAATGCACAACGAACGTTAGGAATACTGCTATTATGTTGAAACTGCTGTTATTGATTGTGCTAATATCAATTATTGATAATATTATTGTTAACTGTCGATAGTGTTGTTCAGTGGTTGCCAAGAGAGTTGTTATTGTTATAGTCGATGGTGCTGTTATTGATTGCCGATTGTTATTGACTGTCGAAATTAATTTAATATTGACTGTCCTTAATTGTTTATCGAACTGTTATTGATTTTCTATAATGCCGATAGAGAGATGGTAGTTATTAAAAATAAATTCTTTGGAATTAACTGGGCCTACCAATATATGAGAAGAATACGGTAGAATAAGCAATATTCAAGCACTATATGTCTGAGAACGTTGTTATTATCTAAATTAACAAGAAAACATTTCTGCAAATATCAGAGGTTAACGCGGAGCATCCACAGAAATAGCATACAAAATACTTTAGCGAACCTCACAGTAATATAGACACTTAAATATTTTTGACTTTACAGTGATATAGACGCTTAAATATGGTGTGAGACGTCACAGTAATATAGACGTTTAAATATGATGTGTGACGTCACTGTAATATAGACGATAAAATATGGTGTGTGACGTCACTGTAATATAGACGTTTAAATATGGTGTGTGACGTCACTGTAATATAGACGATAAAATATGATGTGTGACGTCACAGTAATATAGACGTTTAAATATTGTGTGTGACATCACAGTTATATAGACGATAAATATGATGTTAGACGTCACAGTTATATAGACGATAAAATATGATGTGTGACGTCACAGTAATATAGACGTTTAAATATGGTGTGTGACGTCACAGTAATATAGACGATTAAATATGGTGTGTGACGTCACAGTAATATAGACGATTAAATATGGTGTTTGACGTCACCATGAGGTCGCGCATGTGGTGGCAGCGTTTGTTGTTTTAAGGTCATTGAAATGCATCGTGCTACCAGACGTATAAAAGAGGGGTAAGAGACAACAGGCTTACACATTTTTGATAATATATCTTGTGTATGATATGCAATATAACTGCTGAGCAGCTTCCATTATTCCGAGCCGTGAACAAACTGATGCGAGATTACCAACGGTTCGAGATAAAAACAGGCTTTAATTGCGAACATGCACTGTTGAAATGTACCCGAGGTTGACGCTCGCGTCCTACAAAATGACTTCTTCGACACATCTCACGACATTCGGGCTCCATATGTCCGTTTATTTCTGGCATTCATTTCAGGATATCTCCAGTCCGGAAACGGAGGTCATATCAACGATTGTTATACTGAAAATTAATTTCCGGCGTTAAGCAATCGTTTAAAGGCTCGGTTATGAACGAGTGTAAAAACAGCATTGCTTCAATAGAAGCTCATCAGCGCTTCGATGATTTTGTTCCTCGCATGACTCAAAACCGGGAATTTTTCACCAAAAATTGTAGAGTCGAGGTCGAAACCTGGTAAAAAAATTGCACAGCGAAGAGCCAGAACCACTCTTGAGAGGCCCATATTTTCACGGCAGTGATAAATCCGGTCTTTATTTTCTGGCTGTGAATAATGCCGGAGACCCAGAGATTCTGGGCGATAGAATTTCCGGCGATACAGGGCCACAAAATGACCAGAAATTCCACTGAATTGCTGAAAATGAACGGTCATAAATCCAGGGTCACAATAGGAGCCGGACAATGCAGATCTATATTTAAATTCATAATAAAATATAAAACAATCGTGAATTGTGAAATTTTTCGGTGCGAATTGAGATAAAAGATCGCTAATTTAGGTACTTATAGTACAGAAATTGTACATATCTTACAGTTTGCGCATTATATACAGCCAACAATCCATTTAATACTTAATTATATATTTTTGACTATTTTTCATCCACATGGTTGACACCGAGCACCTGAACTTCGATCAGAATGTATATGAGACAAATCCGTAGGCATAAATCAATCGTGGAACTAGACGAAAGTCGGTAAAAATAACAGATATTCTAGAGAGGCCTACAGGTATAGACCTACCCCGACAAGTTCATGGCGCCAGTGAGAGAAATCTCGAGTCTCGAGACGGACTTTTATTGCCTCGCCAGTCGTAGCAGCCGAGCTTTATTTTCCAGAGTGTGAAAATGAAATGAATTTGTCATGTGAAAATCGTACGTGATTCGAAGTGTCCAATTTGTACGTCAATCATGTGTCAGAGGAGATTTCTACTGTACAAATAAAATGAATAAATTTCTCCTGTACAAATAAAATGAATAAATTTCTCCTGTACAAATAAAAATATTTGTTCATGAGATTTCTTCTGTCCAAATAAAATAATGCACCGGATTTCCGAACGTCATTTTAGAAAATATATAATGACAATAAAATACAATTTGAAATTAAATTTCGGCAACATAAAAATACACTATGATACAGTCTCATTTGGGAGGACACGAACGATAAACTTTAATATGAATTCTAAAAGTTAATAGGCCGTTAGGTTATGTATAATTAAAATCTAAAATAAAATCTGAAGTTGCCAGGAGCTCCGCACGAATTCGGCGCTCCGTTAAACATATATTCATAAATTCATTCGTCCCAAAAATATGCTTAAATTTCGAATATTTTAAAATTTTAAATTTAAAATATGCTTATTAACTACAACTTTGAACGGTAACTATTAAATTTACCTTACAACGTTTTAACTAATAACTTTGAATTGTAAAATAGCAAAAATGTTAAACCTGTAACATTATATCATTAACTTATAACCTTAAATTTTTTGTTTTACTTCTATAACTTTTATAAATAAAGAATCTCAAAATCAGACTTGGCATCGTTCAGTGGCAGTATTTCAAAGCTTTTGTTTGCCGCGCTCCACCATGCAGGCACAGGCTCTGATTCGCTGCGTAACTTCAGACGATCGTTGGAAGCGCTTCCGTCATCCTGAGGACGGTTGTATTGTTTGGGCGGTCTATGCGCGGCCAATGGACGACTTAAAGACGGCCGTCCATATCACGGTAAAAGTTTCTGAGTGGGAGACAAGTGCCTGCCTTCACAGTCCTGAGGACGGATTTATTGTTTGCGCGGCCTATGCGCGGCCAATGGACGACTTAAAGACGGCCGTCCATAACACGGTAAAATTTCTGACTGGGAGACGAGTTTCTGCCTCCGCAGTGCTGAGGACGGTTTTATTGTTTGGGCGGCCTATGTGCGGCCAATGGACGAGTTAAAGACGGCCGTCCATAACACGGTAAAAGTTGCTGACTGGGAGACGAGTGACTGCCTCCGCAGTGCAGGGCTGACTCAGGCATCCGTAAAATATATTCAAGAGGAAAGTCGAAGTTCTATCAAAGGTTTCGTGCATTGCTGGAGAATAAAGCTTACAATGTAGCACATCGATGAGGCTGGTACTATATAGGCGCTTCTGTTACCACTAGTCTTAAAAATAATAAGAATGTTTGTCTGTATCTTGCTTTTTTAAGTTTTAACAGCACCGTTTATGATGCAGACAAAGCTCCTTTTCAGACCAATGAATCTCGTTTCTGCAAAATTTCATTCAATATTAAGTAAAACATATTAGTTAGGAAGGTGCAAACCAGCTACAATGGTTAGAGTCGCGACGCTACATGCATCATTAAAACAGGCATCGAAAAACTATTATAAGCGATTTTTAAAATACATCTTGCTTATTATTTCGCACGCGTAAAGATTAGTACAAATGTGAAGAGTGAGATACCTACTATGAAAATCGCTCCCGTGTGCGTTAAATTCAGAAATATACACTGTATTTACATGTGTTTTGTGCGCGCGTTCTTTATTTTTATTAAATTTTTTTATGATCCGTCACTCACGGCGGACCACACCGGGCCCGCAGAATAAAATATAAATATAAATAATTTAACCGGTCTAAATATATCGAAAAATAACTGAATTATTCCACCCACCCAGAATTTCGGTGAGCGTCGAAGTTTACAATAACCGAAGCTTAAAATAATAATTCCTATACGAAGAGGGGAAAAATCATGAAAAAGTTTTTTATGATTGATGCTTCCTTTAATTACTCGCATTATTTGTTCACAATAAAACGAGACTAATCGGTAATTTCCGTCACAAAGCCGAGTTTATAATTTGATAACATTTTCAATTGTTAGGGGAGAAGTTGAATCGAAGTTCAACAAGTTTAAAACCCTCGGTGTTAGAAGTTTTAATTTGTTGTGTCCGACCAGTAATTGCGACTTGAGCCTCTGCGTCTACTATAATAAACTTATATACTCGTTTTTTATGAACTTATAAGATCTAAAAGATCGAAACGCCCGCAAAAAAAAAACTTTCATCAGTTGCTTTTATGCATGCAAATTCTAGAAAGTAACTCAGGCTCGTATGATTAACGTCTATAAATACTTCATTTCATGTATGTGGAATTTTAGAGTTTTCTCATGTCTTAAAATTAGAAGAACAATAATGAATCATGAAATTTTTTAATAGTCTTCTCAAAAAATGATTTATTGTAGCGGCAGTTTCATTGTGTATTTTATACTGTGACTTTTCTCATTCCTGAGATAAAATAACGATATCTGAGAAAGGCCATGCTTATGGCTTTTAACAATATATTAGCAGCATTCAACAATTGTTGAATGCTCTTTTAGGCTGCACAGACTGAGCCATCAAGCGGCGGGCTATTGTGGGGCGGAGAAGCGAGATCTCTGCTCACATGGTCGACATAACTGCTGCTTTCCGGCCCTTGGACTGCCGTGGTGTTATATGTAAAAGCTGG